TATTCCCTGTGTGACATCAGGTTCCCTTTTAGGAGATCCCACAGGACCCCCAAACACAGCACAGTACAATGTATTCTAACTGCTAGTTCACTGGCTTCTGGTCCTACCAGACTACAGGCTCTTTCAGGCCTGGGGTATGTCTTTTGTATCTGCAATGCCATGACCGAGCACCAAGGCTAGTAGAGAGCTCATGTTCAATAACTACTTGTGGGATGACTAAAGGACCTAGTACAGTAGAAGAAACAGACACACATATACGACCAACTTAAAAATAAAACAGGATACGTGTGAAAATAAGAAAGATGAGAAAGAGTGTGGCAGGATGCCAAGTAGAAACAGGGAGGAAAATCTGGGGGAATCCTGGAATTTCCTTACCTGATTTCTCAGTTTCTTCAAATCCTGCAGCTGCTGCCAATGAATATCATGACCATGAGTGCCTATTCTGAATGAGGTACTGGGCAAAGCACTTTATAGAAAATGAACTCATAACCACCCTATGCATTTCACTGATGAGGAAATTCAGACTCCAGAATCAAGACATGGGCCCAATGTTAGACAATCAATGGCAGAAGCAAGATTTCAATCCTGTTTTCACTTTTGGAATTCTCCAGGCAAGAACACTGGAGTTGGCTGCCATTCCCTACTTTGGCAGATTCTTTACCATCTGAGCCACCAGGGAAGCCCAAAAGTGAAATCTCCCCAAATACTAAAGTTTGACAGCTTTGAAGTGAAGTCTCTCAGTCATGTCCGACTCTGCAACCCCATGGACTGTAGCCCACCAGGCTTCTCTGTCCATGGGATTCTCCAGGCAAGAATACTGGAGTGGGTTGCCATTTACCTTCTCCAGGGGATCTTCCCGACCCAGGGATCGAACCCAGGTCTCCCGCATTGCAGGCAGATGCTTTAACCTCTGAGCCACCAGGGAAGGCCTTGATAGCTTTAGTTAAACCCAATTAAACCAGTAAGGTTGAACTAGGATCTTTTTAACCATTCAAGTAAAAATGTACCTTATTATACACTTTCTGGCTTCTTAAACTGTGTATCTTGAATAAAACTTAATTCTTTATGGATGCTTCAGGGCCATTCCTGAATTCATCTCTGAGGGTGCCGTAAAATAGGAATGCCAGAAGGAATAACTGGAAAATCAGACTACTGTCTCAGATGGTAAAGAATCCACCTGCAATGTGGGAGACCTGGGTTTGATCCCTGGGTTGGAAAGATCCCCTGGAGAAGGGAACGGCTACCCACTCCAGTATTCTGGCCTGGAGAATTCCATGGACAGAGGAGCCTAGCAAGCTACAGTCCATGGGATTGCAAAGAGTCAGACACAACTGAACGACTTTCACTACAGCCTCAGCCTCTTACATCACAAGCATTACAGTGCCTGTAGTGGAGCTCTGACTTCCCTGTCCACTCTCATCCCATGCCTCGTTAGAGCTATTATTTCTTGCTACTGTCAGTATGTTTCTTCTAGTAGCCCATCTGATTTCACTACCTCTAATCTTCCACAGGCTGGGCCGTGATGCTCACAGAAGATGTAGCAGTCATTAGTGCTGTCCAGCAGTCACTTCGGGCTCTTCGCTTTCCAGGCACATGCTTAAGACTGCAATTCCCGGCCATTCTTTTAAATTAGGCATGGCCATGTGATTTGCTTTAGCCAATGATATGGAAATGAAAGTGACAGATGCCACTTCAGGTCAGATATTTTAAAATCCAGTGTCCCTTGATCACCATCTTCCACTCAATCAAAATGGTCATGAAAAACCACATTAAGATGAGTTTCCATCAGCATGGATCCCTGAGTAACTGACAGGGGCAGAGTCACCCGTGTAATCCTGCTGGACATGTGGCACAAATGAGAAGCCAACTTTTGTTCTGTTAAGCCACTGAAGTCTTAAGGGTTTCTGTTAATGAAGCCTAATCCAAGCTATCCAGACCAATACACCAGCTTTCTCAGTAAAGAATTCTCATATAAGTAACTTTATTTACAGGATTTTATGATCAACATTTTGCTTGCACAAAGAATTTTCTTTGCATTTGTCTTGGTTCAAAGCTATGTTCAATTTTAAATATATTTACCAAGTACCTACTATGTACAAAACACTGTGCTAGAAGATGAAGATAATTCATGTCTTGAAAAAGTTTCAGTCTTATGTTGGAAATTGGGGCAAAAAGGCAAATTCTAGTGTTATAACTGTTTAAAGGAGGAACTAGTCCCATGCCTTTTCATACTGTTCATGGGGTTCTCAAGCCAAGAATACTGAAGTGGTTTGCCAGCCATAAAATTAAAAGATGCTTACTCCTTGGAAAAGAAGTTATGACCAACCTAGATAGCATATTAAAAAGCAGAGACATTACTTTGCCAACAAAGGTCCATCTAGTCAAGTCTATGGTTTTTCAAGTAGTCATGTATGGATGTGAGAGTTGGACCAAAAAGAAAGCTGAGCGCTGAAGAACTGATGCTTTTGAACTGTGGTGTTGGAGGAGACTCTTGAGAGTCCCTTGGACTGCAAGGAGATCCAACCAGTCCATCTTGAAGGAGATCAGTCCTGGGTGTTCATTGGAAGGACAGATGTTGAAGCTGAAACTCCAATACCTGGGTCACCTGATGGGAAGAGCTGACTCATTTGAAAAGACCCTGATGCTGGGAAAGATTGAGGGTGGGAGGAGAAGGGGACGACAGAGAATGAGATGGCTGGATGGCATCACTGACTCAATGGACACGAGTCTGAGTAAGCTCTGGGAGCTGGTGAGGGACAGGGAGGCCTGGCATGCTGCTGTCCGTGGGGTCGCAAAGAGTCAGACACAACTGAGTGACTAAGCTGAACTGAACTGAGCTCCATGCCGATGGCGAGAAAAGCACACAAGAGTTTCACAAAGAGAGTTCCCATCAAATGGCCCCGACAAATGGGTAAGAACCAACAATTAAGAGATTCCAAGGAGTCATTTAGGACAGAAAAAGCAACAAGGGCAAAGACAGTGAGCACAGACAACAAAGAGCAAACAGTTCCAGACTTGGAAAATATTGTAAAATCAAAGGGAAGAGCAAGAAATGAGTTTACCCATACTGCCCAGACCAGGGTGGGCTGTGCTTAATTCAAGAGAAGGTAGGAAGCCATTAAAAGCCTAGGCTGGAGGTGGGTAGAAGGTCAGTTCAAGGAGGAGGGGATATATGTATACATATAGCTGGTTCACTTTGGTATATAGCAAGAACTAACACAACACTGTAAGGCAATTATACTCTAAAAAAGAAAGACAATAGATAAGAAAGAAAATGTATAAGAAGGTATAATTCCAATGATCTTTCCACAAAAGGTAATTATATGATGTTAACTAATTTTATTATAATAATTTTATAACACATATCTGTATCAAATCAAAATGCTGTGTGTTTTAAAATTACAGTGTTACATGTGTCAATTAAATCTTGATAAAGATGGGGGAAAATAAATAAAAAATAAAAGTCTAGGCTGGGGAAATGAATTACCTAGAAATGATGATAGTACACAGGATAGATGAAAGGAGGCAGGGGGGGAAGTTAGAGAGTTTCTGCAGTAATAAGAGGGAAAGGTATCAATGGCCCCAAATCAGTATAATGATGGTAGGAACCAAAAGAAGCAAATACTAAAAACAATGTGGAGGCTGTAGCAATAAAAACTGACAACCAACTTAACACAAGGGGGAAATAAAGGGAAGGCAAGAATCAGTCCTGAGGTGCAGATCCTAGGTAGCTGAGAGGACCATTATTCTAAATAGCTGAGGTTACTCAGAAAAGTAACAAGGGCAAATAAAGTGCTACCATCTGTTTTCCTAATAGCAAGCTCCAGTTTCATCCGAAGAACTACTTCTTGTTTACCCTGTGCAAACTTCTTGTTTACCTTGTTTGTCCTTGTTTACCCAGGACAAAAGTACTCCCTGATTTGATACCATTAACCTTATCTCCCACTTTTTCCAATAAGAACCTCCTGGAACCACCCCGGAGTGTTTTGGGTTCTCCTCTGCCACCTTTCCCATCCTCACTTTCTCATTTCCTCAATTCTCCTTTCTCATCATCACTCATGTCTACCTAGCTGAGTTTACGGCTCAACTCAAGCCTCAGTTCTCATGTAAAACCTTCCTCAAACATACGGATTTCTCCTTTTCCAGAATTTTCATAGTACCTACTATCCTGGAATTCTAAAGACCATATTATTAATGATCATTTTCCTGTGTGCCCTTTATCATCAGAACAAGTCTCATACAATACAGGTTGTGAGATCCCCACAGTTACATTGCCTTGCACACAACATGTACACAACAGATACTTTATTGATAATCCAAAGTAACTTAGTCTCTAAAAATATGCACATCTTTTTCATTAATAATTTATTTTTATTAAATCATGATTAGACATGTGAAACAGGGAGATTTCATCACTTAATGTTTCAAAATATCCTTAAGAATCTTTACTCTTAGGAACTGCTATTGCCTTAAGAGATTGAATACACCATTTCGATCATAAATTTTTGTGCCAGGTTCCTTTGAATCTTTTTGACTTAAAGATATACCTAACGCGTCAATGATCAGCACTCCAAGGTGATTCTGACTTGGGAATAACCTAATTTTCCATGAGGTTTATTTACTTTCAGGAACCCAGTAAGTGCTTAACCTACCTTCCTGTTCAACTAGCTATAGTATAGACCTTTCAAAGTGTATCGACAGAAAAGTTTGTAAATTGCTGTTTGTTACAAAATAGCAGCTGCCTTCATTGGTTCCTCTCTCAATTAATTACAGTGATTCAGTTCAGTTTCTTTCCTTCCTCCTCCGGGCGGGAAACAAACATAAGACAAGTCCTTAAGGAATTACAAAACGAGCACGCTTACAAAAAGGAATTAAAAAATATTCGTGGGACACTATCCTAATCAGACCTGCTCTTATCACTAAGATATTTCCTCCTGCAAACAAAATCAGAGAGTAAACAATGGGGAGAAGTGCCAGGGGAAAAGAAGTAAGAGGCGTACTTTGTCAGTCAAGTTGACCCGGGTTCCCGGAACGTTTGGCAGCTGGTAGAGCAATAAGCAATGACAACCGCTACCCGTACGCTGCAGATCCCACTCAGGCTTTCCACTTTTCCTTGCTCTTCCCACAGCGAAGGCCCGCCTGACCATGTCCCTCCTCTGCACCAAGGTGCGCAGCGCTGCGGGGTCTCGCGCGCAGGTGACCTAGACCGCTCGGTCCGAGTCCAGCCGTCCTCTTCCTAGAGGCCTGGCAGCCCCTACCGAGGCGAGGTCTCCGTGGGACCGAACTCCCGCCCCGAGCCCCCAGTTTGAGCCGGACTTCATTATTTGGAGACCGCTGGGCCGCGCGCGACCCTTCCTTCCCCCAGCACCAGCGCGCTCGGGCTCTGCGCCCCGGCGACCCGTAACCTCGGGTAGCGGGGGAGGGGAGGGAAAGGGTGACGGCGACCGTTACTCCGAAGACTACCCGCCCCGACGCGCGCAGGACCGGTCCTTACCGCAGCGGGAAGGGAGGCAGGGGGGAGGCGGCGCCCGGGACGAAGCGGGCGGGAAGGTGGGGGCGACAGCTTAGGCGGGGGCGGCAGCCGCGGGGGACCCCGGCGGGCGCCCACGACGCGGTGGGCCGCCTGGGCGCCGCCATAGTGGGGACGCAGCCGCGGGCGGAGCGCACGGCCGCGACCCTGGGACGGCGGGACCACCAATCCGGCTCTCCGCCTCGGCGCCCTCGCCGGGGGTCGGGAATTCGCGGCCAATCCGCGCGCGGGAGCCAGGCGGGGCACCGGGCTGACCAATGCGGGGCTGCGCTGCGAGCAGTGGGCGGGCGCACCCCAGAGGAGCCCGCTATCACAGGAGCCCCGAGTTCTGCAACCCGCCCATCCCTCTCCCCTCCGCCCCGCCCCGCGCGGACCGGGGCTGCTGGCGGGGCGGGGAGTCAGTCCTCAGGCTGGACCGACGCCCGGCCCTGCTGCCTCCGCGCCGACGCTCACCCCTGGTTCCCCGGAGCCCGTCCGCCGCCTGGAGGAATCCTCCACCCGCAGCTTCACACCCTGGAGGGTGCCCGTTCGGGATGTGGGTTTCTGACGGCCGCAGGGCTCACGGTCCGCCGAGATAATCCCTCGAGAGCCTGTTCTCGGTCGTGAGGGGGACAGGGGTCCACGGTCATTCCACGCCGAGGGACGCAGGCATCGGCCCCAGACCCAGACTGAGACCCGAGGTTGTGGACCTCAGGTTGGGCGACCCTGCCCAATCCTGTGTAGTGAAGGGGTACAGGACTCGCTGGCTGCCCTTATTACTTTACAACCTCACACTTTAGTTTCTATTCCAGAACCTATCCGCCCCATTTCGTCTACCCGTCGCAGCTCCGGAGATCCCAGCTTTCTCCCACCCTTCTGGGGCACAGTTTAAAACACAATTACCCCTCCCGGGAATTTACAGGAGAGGAAGAACTGTCCGGTTGCGATCTTTGGTTGCCAACCCTGAGACTTCACCTCACCAAACGTGGGCAGTTTGTTCTGATAAAAAAGCTTCCGAGGGGTGACTGGTGAGTTGGTTGAGGCCTGGGCCTGACTGCAGGCACGAGGGCCTGTTCTGTGGGACTTGAATTTCATCACCTCTTTAAGTTCCCCAGGGGATTATTACATTTGACCAAAAGTTTCTAGAAAAATAATCAGCTGTTGAGAAAGAACTGCTGGGGTTGCACCAGGGACTTCCCTGCCTGTCCTGCAGCACGGCTGGGGACGGTAGGTCAGCGAGAGGGAGGGAGGTCCCAGACCCTGCCAAGTCTGGGGAAAGGTTCCTTTCCTCCAAAGATATGTGTTCCCAGGGCTTGCCAATCCACCTGTCTCTGTCCACTCTCCCCTGAGAATCCTTGGGTGTTGGACAAAAGAGTCAACCTCCCTTTGCTTGGCCCCAGGAGGAAATTGGCACAGAAACGCATCTTTGAGACCTGCTGCTCCTCCTTTTCCCACAGACACCAGAGGTGGCAGCCACCTCCCAAGCCCCAGGACACAAAGCAGCGTTGAGTTGCTGAGCTGACCCAAGAATTTCCTGGCCAGAGCCAAGAACTAGACCAGCTGGAACAGCTCTGCTGTGCCCAGTTCACCAGTCCCTCCCTGCCCTGCTGCTGCTCTATCCTTGTCCACCTGGACTTCAGGAACCCACTGCTGGTCAAAGGGACTGGGTCGTCCTCCCGGGAAGTGTCTCACCAACTACAGATCAGAAAGGTTTCAGGACCCAAGGGAAGGGGGATGGGGGGCAATCTCTTGCTCTTCAAGCACCTAAAATGTCCTGCCTTTTTTCAAGCTGGTTCTACAGTTTTTATGGAATGGACACTGGTATGAACTTACACCTGCTCAATGAAGTTAATAAGTGGGGTTGAGATGAGAAGAGATCAAACTCAGTTCTACAGGTTGTGGAAGTGGTCTGGTTCTCCCTCTATTAGCTTTTCCATCCCATCTCTAAGGCAAGAGAAATAAAAGGACGTGCTCTCGGCCAAAGGACCTCTTCTCCCCAGGTCCCCATCACACACGGCCAAAGGACCAGAACTTGACAAAGAGTCCATCTCTTTAGGAGGGCCTTCAAGAGCCTCCTTAAAATGCATGGCCCTGCTCCAGAGCCTGTGGACTCGAGGCACACTCCCGGCCTGACCCTGAGCCATCAGGCTCCTTGGGGCAGACACAGCCAATCCTCTGCTCAACACATTTTATTGCTAAGGACAAGGTGATGCACCAGTTTTCAAAATAATTTGGTTTATAGCGTTCATACGTAACAAAAAAACGGGGAGTATTATAAATCTGATTCTTGTATACACAGGGTATAAGTGTGAAGCCCTCCAATCCTGGGCCCAGGCAAACAAATTCATGAGGAGCAAAAACCTGTTTAACCCCTTCAGCGTTGCCCTCCAGTCCCGCCCCCACCCCTGAAATCAGCTCCCTCCCACCCCTAGACCAAGGGGCGTTATCTAAACCTGCCCCTGGCCTCCAGTGGCCCCAATTCATCTTAACCCTCCCAGGCCCTGCATGATTGCAATTTTCCGTCGACAGAATCACTCGCCAGGCTCTGCCTGCTTCCATTATTAGATCTCCCTTCGGATTATTCCCCACCCACACCCTCTAATACTGTCCACAGGCGCTCTGTGCCCCAAGTGATATGGGAACACACACCCATGTTACCCTATCTTCTTCAAGAGAGGGTAAACAGCTGGCTTAACTCCTCAGCACCTCCATCTCATCACTGCAGCTTTGCCACCACTCCCTTGAGGCAGTTCTAGGGACAGACAGATGCCACAGCCATCTCCAGCCAACCCCCAGGGGCCCTTACTCAGCTCAGCTGAGGGCAGAATTTCACATTTTTGTTGCCCTGGATAGGCAAGGAAGAAAGTAAAGGCCAGGGGCTGGCAGAAGCTGGTCCAGACCAAACATACATACCAACACACACCCACACACACACACCCCACACACACACCCACACCCACACACATAAATACAAAAGGGGTTAGGGGGGCAAGCACCAGCACCTCTGCCTAGTTGGTGCAGGTGATCGTTAGGAAGCTAAGTCCGAGGCCAGGAACAGGGTAACCAGCCCAGCCAGCACAGTTGATTGCAGACTGGGGCCAGTGCAGCCATAGCATTCCAGTGCTTAGCCCATCAGCTGGGAGCTCATCGTCTGCTGCCACATGTCCAAGAAGGGCTCATCCTTGCACTTCAGCGGAATGCGATGAGGGTGGGGTGAGAAGATGATGGGGTCGGTTAGTTCATTCCTTTTCATTTTACAATTCACTTTAGAGTTCCAAGTGTCTGCTGTGCTGTGGAACCCCAGAGTGCTTTCACCTTTGCTGACTGGGACTCTCTCAGCTGCTGGAAGCACCTACTCCATGATGGCCCGGTATAGTGCAGGCTCGATGTAATCTTCCCGGTACCTTGAGTTGATAACTCGTTGTCGTTTCTTCTCCTGCTTAACCTCTTTCTCCGTGAAAATCTCATTGAAGCGCATGTCTGAGGCTACTGACTATAGAAGAATAGGCAAACCAAATAAATGAGCACTGTGTGGCCAATGCCCCCACCTCCCGAAGGAAAAACAAAGGGTCACGCCCTTGCTTTCTTCCCTCCCTCCCAGAGGGGAACCAAGGACACACAGAAAACACGCTCACCAGTCTAGACTTGACTCTCTTAGGAAGCTCTTCATCCAGCGTGTACACGTCATCTCTCTTAACCACAAGCTGTGAGCCATCCTCAAACTCCACCTACCAAGGAACAAAGGCCTTAAGGTAAGATAGCCTGTGGCTCCCTGGTCCACCATGCACAGTGGCCGTTTCCTGCAGACACAGGAAGGGTTTAGAACACTGAAGCGAGGCCTGCCGTGTCTGAAGTCACACCCGGCAGACTGGGCACAGGGCAGCCCCAGCTCTGAAAAGGGTTGTGATGGATACCTTAAGCTCTCCTCTCCCAAGAGCAAGGACCTGCCCCGCCTCTGGCTCAAGAGGAAGCTGAACTAACCAAGCACCAGCCTCCCCCCATCCCCAGCAAAGCCTTTGGTTACCTGGTACATCTGGATGGGGTGGGAGGCCACAAACTTGGCTCCATAGACTTGGCCATCTGTCCATCTCACCTGGACTACTTCCCCTTCAGCAGGAGGACCCAGCTGGAGACAGTCCTGACTCTGAGGGAACAGTAAGGAAGAAGGGTGAAACGGAGGTCCATTTGAGAGACCTGCTTAAGTCCTCATCTACCTGCTATCTCGGCTGGCTGCTGCTGTTCCAGGTGACAAAAAAAGCAGCTATAATAAGATTAATAAATGTAGAAGACAACTACCATCATCACGAACCTTTCTCATGTTCCTTCAACTGTCTAAGGGACAGGGGACAGGGTTCTGCCAAGAAGAAATACTCAAATTGTACTCAACTATTTTAAGAGAGTGGTTCTTAACAGGAAAGTAATAAAAGACCACCTACCATGGGACTTGGCAAAAAACTTGAGCACTTTGACTCCCTGCAGAAGGGGGCACCCTAACGCTGGGTGGAACCCTCGCTGCATTCCCAGTAGAGAGCCTTTTATATAATTTGGTCAGTGTGTGAGCATGCTCATGGCAGCTGAATCAAAGGTCTGATGGGTTGAAATGGGAGAAGGTGCTTGGGGACGTGGCCCAAAAAATACACCTTGGAGCAGGAATGGGACAGAGTCTAAAATGCCAAATATCTAAAATTCCAACTGCTCTTTCCAATTTCACTCATGACAAGAGGAAGGTTCTACATGCCAATTCATTTATTGAATAGAAATGACTTTATACTGTATTGCCAACTCATTATTGACCAGTTACTCAATAACTCTATTGTGTTATGAATTCAACAGTTAAATAGAAAGCACTGCCCCCACAAAAGAATCTGAGGTGGAAGTTTTAACTAGTCAAATATCTGATCTTTGATAAATCACTTAAGTTCTCAGATATTCAGTTTTTCCTCCGATAATAGCAGTTCTCAAAGTATGGTCTGCACACTTTAGGGAGATTCCTGAGCCACCAGCAGGGAGCAAGCAAGGGCATGATAATTTTCACAATAATATTAAAACATTAGTCTCTTTCACTGTGCTGACATTTGCAGTGATGGTGTAACACCTAGAAAGTGTGCAATTGCTGGCACCACAGCACAGACTGAGGCAACAACCCTGAGGTCTACTACTTGTTACTACATTCTTAGCCACTGTGTACTCATGATTTAGGAACAAAAGAGAAAAACCTGTAAACAAAAAAAAAACAAAAGAAAAACCTGTAACCACATAACAATGTCCCTTTGATAAAGCAGGAAAAATTATTTTGTTAAACCATAATCTTTAAGTACTCAGAAGACATTTTCTGTTGCACACTGAAGCATGATGGCTGTCCTGAGAAAAAGCACAGGGCAACTGAGTTGTAAGAAGTAACTGCTCTCTTCATGAAACACCAGTTTTATTTGAGAAAAAAAAAAGACAAACAGGTTATTCAGACTTGGGTACTGGCAGACATCTTGAAAATGAATGAAGTGAGCCTTTCATTTCAAGGAAAACGGACTGACAGTACTGCCAGTAATAAAAAGTTTTCAAGCACACGTTATAATTTCAGAAAAGTCGTATCACCACCATGAGCTTGACACTCCCTAAAATTTAAAGACTTTTCTGAGATTCGTGCTACAAATGAAAGTGGTTTTTTGGTACTGTATGATAAAATTTAACAATACCTGAAAGATCTGCATAGCCCATTACACCAACATGGATGAGGGTTCAAAATCACGCATGGGTGAAAGATCCATTCTCAGTTTAAGACAGACCAACAGAACTTAAAAGAGTATGTTCACCAAGCTGCCTTCAGAGTCCACATTGCAGCTAACTGTTGAACTACTATCCACTGAGGTTTGGTGTAGTATCAAAGTAGAATGAACACAATCATCTGGAAGGCTATTTAAATACTCACTTTTCCAACTGCTTCTCTATGTGAGACCAGGTTTTCTTCATACACTTTAACCAAAACAATATATTCCAACAAACTGAAGTTGTGACATTAAAGGAGTTTACAGAATTATAGAAAAGTGGCACTCCTCTAATACTTTTTGTTTTACTTCAAGTTGTTAAAAACAATGGACTATTTCAAATCAATCTCAGTTTTAATTTCTACTAATAACGAGCAAATAGAAAATCACGAGCCTTGTTGATATCAGAGGCAGGCAAGGGTTAATAGACATAATCCACATAAAGCTCTTTAGGGTCCTCAGTAATTCTAAAAGAGACACGAGTCAAGAACCTAGCCGAGTGCCTGCCAAACTGGAAGAGCATCACAAAGCATAGCTAGTCTACTGCCACAAACACACCTGATACCATATTTACTGTTAATACATAGAAATCTGCCTTACAACTAATGAATGGACTTTTAGCAGCTGAGTTGCTAATGTGTGTGGATGTGTTAAAGGAAGAAGTGATTTCATCCCACTATGTTAGTGCTCGGTCTGACATGAAAAGGCTGGAGGTTAGGTGGGGGAATGGAGACAGAGAGACGAACAGGGGAAACCTGAACTGAGTGCTGAGTCCTGAGCCAGAAAACCTACGACTAAGTCCAGGCAGGGCCTCCAGTGTCTTAGGTGTAGGTAACACAATCAGGCCAGGCTTATCTCCAGGCAGCTTCTATTCAGCCTCCAAAGCCTTCAACGGTAAAGAACCGGTAAAGCACACTCCACACATCTACCAAGAGGGCATGGTAGAAAAGAGATAACTGGATAATTCTCCCGAAATCACACAGCTGCTAAGCAGGTATTGGCACACTGATCTGATTCCAAAGCTTGGGCTCTTCATCCAATGCATCAGAACACCTTCGCAGGTTGTTGCTGTTGTTTTTCAGTCACTAAGCTGTGTCTGACTCTTTGCGACACCATGGACTGTGGCCCACCAGGCTCCTCTGACCTCCACTATCTCCCAGAGTTTGCTCAAATTCATGTCCATTGAGTTGGTGATGCTATCCAACCATCTCATCCTCTGCCGCCCCCTTCTCCTTTTGCCTTCAATCTTTTCCAGCATCAGGTCTTTTCTAATGAGTTAAGGGTAGTTTGGACTAAAATACAGGCATGTTTCAAATTACTGCAGAAAACACTGCTTCCTACAAGCTTCTAGAGAAACCAGGGTACCCTAGTGGCATACAATTTTCTTTGTATAGAAAGACCAGTACAAACACTTCTTTCTGTTTGGGGGCCAAATGATGGAACCATGGGCCTGGCTAGAAAGGGCAGGTGGGCCCACAGTCAGTCAGACCTAGAAGTACCCCCATCCCAAAATGCCCAAGAAGCTCCACGCAGACATTACCACTATGTCCTCAGGATAGAGATTGTCGCTGAAGGAGCCGTCATCAAAGTTGACTTCGTAGAAGGTCTCAGTGGTGAGCCTTACCACCTCACACTGGTAGAAGCGCCCGTTCTTGTGCTTGCTAATGACCTTCTGGCCTGCAGTGATGCTCTGCAAGGCCCCCTTGGCACGCTGGAGAAAACAGAGGCTTGGGTTACGCCCATGTTGAGCTGACAGGCCTAGCGAAAGGGGACCAAGATGAGCTGGCTCCTCTTCACCAGGGCAAGAGAAGCATGAGAATGGAAAGGTACAACGGTACAGGTCTTTCCAGATATCCACATCCCAGCCAGGACATGGGAAAACCTAGTGTCACATTTCCCCCATAATGTAGCTCCTCCCTCATTCACAACACACAACAACGTCCTTATACTAACCAACCATCCTGTCTCACCCCAGACCCCCCAAACAGACTCTCGTGACTTCCCTATTGTGAGGAACTGACCAAACAGCACCTATTAATTCACATAGTTCAGACACACATCACAGTGGACGCGCAGCAGGCCCGGGGCCCCCACACAATACTCAACACAGATCTTACCACCAGCTCTGCCCTCAGGGTCAGGGCACAAAGACTGAGGTTCCCTGATGTCCTCAGCTGTGTATGACACACAGCTCCCCATTACAAGGACTCTGTCATGTCTGGGGCCCTCACATCACCCTTCCTCTCATTCTGAACCTGCCCCTGATGCAAATGAGATCACAGAGTATCTGGCAGCCTTGAGTCCAACCGCCCCTCCCGAAGCGGCCCAAGCTCTATGCTCCAGCCACGTTGGCCTCCCTGCTGTCCTCCAAGCACTCGCGTCAAGCGTGTTCCCACCTCAAGGTCTGCGCGCCTCTGTCCCCTACCTAAAAGGTTCTTCCCCAGTTCCCTGCACACCGGCTCCCTCACATCCAAGAGTCAACTCAGGGACAACACTCCTTACTACCCCCTCTTCCGTTCCTGTATCCAGCTTTAATCTTATGCCGCATCTGTTAACACTGAATGTTTACTTGTTTCCACACATCTTTCAACCACAGGAAATGCAGCAGGAGGGCAGGCACTGTTATCTCATTCACTAGTGTGTTCCCAGCACCTAAAACTGTGCCTGGGGAATTCCCCGCTGTCCAGTGGTGAGGGCTCCCTGGGTTCAATCCCTGGTCAGGGAACTAAGATCCCACAAGCTGCCCGACCAAAATAAATAAATGAAAGTTAAAACAAAACACAAATAACTGTGCCAAACATGCCCAGTATGTGGGTGAAGAATGAATTAGTAAAAGACTCAATAGTACCCACCTTTCCTTACAGCATCAGCCATCTACAGCTGCCAATGTGAGGGTGTGTGGATGGGCAAGAGAATAATGATCACCACCACACCACTATCCTGTTCCAACACAAAACTCCTACCCCCTTACCAAAATGTACCTCAGGCTTCTATTCCTCATTCTCTTATTGACTATTTATTTTTCCCTCTTCCTAAGCTCCCAACCCACCCCCCAACCACCTCTTGTGTTCAATAGAATATCTTTATGAAAACGAAGGATCCAGGGACTTCCTGGTGGTCCAGTGGTTAAGAATCACCTTGCAGTGCAGGGGATGCGGGTTCGATCCCTGGTCAGGGAAACTAAGATCTCACATACCATGGAGCAACTAAGCCTGCGAGCCGTAACTACCGAGTCTGGGCTGCAACGAACAATGAAAATCATGTCCTGCAACTAAGACCCTAGGCAGCCAAATAAGTAAGTAACTAAAGGAGAGGAAGAAAGAGCCAGTCAGCCAAGGCCTTTTCCAAGAGCCAAATGGTTAAGAGGGAGCTCTATTGTGTCCTTCCTTTTATGACTGTTCTTTACCACACTGCTGACAAGTCTTCATGGGCATCCCCTCCACTAGACTGCAGCTCATGGAAGGCTCCTGACCTGACTGCCCCTGGAGCCCCCAGGTGGGGTGCACACAGCCCCGCCACCGCAACAGCACAAGGCCCTCCTGAGCCCCCTGCTGCTCTGCTTCTCTCCACATCTCTCTCTGCTTCTCAGCTGCTTTCACTGCCTCCTGCTGTACCATCTGCTCCTTCTATTAGCAATCTCCAGAGACCAGTTTCTAATAGGAATTAGCTGTAACTACCCTGTTAAATGCTGATAATATCCAAATTTTCATCCAGTGGATCCAACTGCCTCCTGGTACCTCAGCCAGAATGTTCCAGCAATATCAAAGTCTATAGGTCCTTCCCTCACTTTCTACCTCCCCCGCTTTCCCCTACACAGCAGCCCAGGCCCATCTCAGCTCCTGAATGCAGTTAGCACCGGATGAGCATCCCTTCCACCTTCCAGGAAGTAGCCCAAGTCATCTTGAATCCACACCCGCTCACCTCCCCCTTCCTCTACCCATGACAGTCAACAGATCCCATCAGTTCCACCCACTGTGGGATCCAGCGCTGGCTGTGATCCTAAAACTCTGCCTCTGTGTTCCCACTTCAGACCTCAACTTCTCACGTAGGCTAACTGGTCTCCTGGCCTCGAATTCTTATTCCTTTAATCCTTTCTTCAAACCAGAACTGTTTTAAAAAATATAGCTCAAAGTCATAATACTGGACAAGTTCCCCTCTTCTAATGGAAGAAAGGTCAGATTCCTAACCGAGCGTGGCAGCCCAGGGCCTTCCTCCTCTGGCACTGCCTGCCTTTCCAGTACTATCCCCCACCAGGTTCCCAGAACCAGTCTTACACGTTCCTCCTCCTGAGGCTGGCTCATTCTGTTTCTGAAGACTTGACCACCTCCTGCTCACAATTCCCCTTTAAGATCCACATCAATGCCATCTTCAATCCAAACCTTTTCATGTAGTTTACACTAAGCTTCACCGTTTAGAGAAAATCAGTGCCACGTAGAGCTCACGGTGTACTACTCTTCCCGTAATTTCACAACATTTACAGAGCTTCTGCGATGTCCCTGACACCCAGAATAACAAGACACTGACCCTCAAGGAGTTTACCCAGGAGGAGAGGCTAACAAGGCATCAACCACAAGGCAGCTGATACCCCAGGATTAGGAAATACAAGGCAGGAAGCAGAGATGGACAGGGACCACCTCCTAATCCCACACTCATTAGCATCTCCAAGCACAGTGCTTGAGGAAATAACTTGCTGACACAACAAATGAAAAGCCTCCAGAGAAAATGACTCAGGAAAAACGGTCAAGCGGATTCCAGAACCGCAGCCCCCTCACCTCCAAATTAGGGATCTTGTGCCGGAAGCAGGTGATGAAGACAACGAAAGGCCAGTCGTCTGGCTGCATCATCACACCTGCAGCCTGAGCGCAGCTCACGTGGAAGGCAGTTGGGCAACGGCCGTGAGAACACTGCACACAGCAGCCAGCAGTTCTTTTCCTCCGTTTCTTACAGAAGACACATTTCTACAACACAGGGGAAGTAGGCCAGTGATTACAGGAACTGGGACGGTCTCCTCTACTGCTCCCCCAAATGCACAGAGCCATACACAAGAGCCCACCTGCTTCCCAAAACATGAGGGTACATACGCCCTCTGTTAATCTCGTATCCGATCACAGACATCCTCAAAAAGTAGTTTTAACCAGAGGGCGAGAACTGTAACACACGACCAAAACCAAGGGGCACAAGACCAGCCAGGGGGTGTCCTCATTAAGTGCTGTGTTCCCCTCTACCCAGAGCCTTGGAAACAGGGAAAGGATGCACAGTCACATGCCCATCTCTCTCTCCTTACCAGTTTGAAGCGGGGCAGGGGAATTTTGCTCACATCCACTGGGCTTCTTTCTGCAATGTTGACAAATCTTGCTTCCAGAATCGCCACCGCACAAGAGACATGGACCCATCTGCCAAAAGGCAAAGGCCACTTCAGTCCCCCCAGGCCCTGTGGCTTTTTCGTCTTTGTTTTTTGTTTTTTTTTCCCCAGGCAAGGCTTATTGGGGCCCTGCTATAGCAAGGGGGAGCAAGAACAAAGAACAAGTTCCCTTGCTTGCTTGCTCCCTGCAGGGTGGGGAGGTAAGCTTGCAACTTATATAGGATGAGAGTAACGTGTGCCTAGGGGTCGGGCCAGAGGGGTAGCTTAGACGGTTTGCCCACTCTTCTGGTGGTGTTGAGTGCAGGGTGCATGTTCAGTACCCGCTTTTGTTCCCAACACCCTTTTTGCTCCAGGTTCTTCAACTGGCTAAATGGCTATCGTGGTGCTCCTTTTTAACCCTGTTTGTTTAACCTTTTGGTTAAGTTTGGGTCTTCTAGGTTCCAACAGTTCGAAGTAAGGCTTCAAGATGGCTCAAAGAGTTCAACCCATTCTGGGAGAGAGTGGCCCAGGTCCCTATAGGACCTTGGAACAGTCAGCGAGGTGTAGGCAATGGTCTGTGGCCCCTGTCCAGCATAAGAAGCTTCAGAAGAAGAGACCTTCGGCCTCTTAGAATAAGAGTACAGAGGTGGGGAGGCGGGGGTGAAGGGCAAGGGGAATGAGACGGGACCTAGGACCCTCTGCCACAATGCTGCAGTGCTTGCACCTGGACAAATTTCTCCTCAAGCAACAAAGTACAAAGAAACTGTAGAGGACTAAAAATAAATGTGCACATGCACAGCTGGGGCAAATTCTGGACAAAAAGATACAGAGACCAAAAACTCAACTGCTGCTTTTGAAGAGCCTGGCCTCTTCTGATGTGGGCCTCCTGTGGTGCTTCCTCCCTCCCTCAGCGTGACCCCTGAACTTCCCAGCAAGGTCCTGAGACCCAGAGAGTTAAGACCAGAAGTATCTCCCACACTGAGTGGGCAAAGGTCTCCACCACACTGTCCCAGGTCAGCACAGCATCACACTGCTTACAACACTCACTCACAGCCTGTTGCTAAATAAACAAAGCCACAGCTAACTGGGGGTACGGCATGGTTTAGGAAGTAAGAATAAATTAGAGAACTCCCTACAGATCTCTTTAATTGGAGGACCTGGGCACTTCCTCAAAATATCTCCAAATGGGCCCCAATCTGCCAGTAAGCCCAGCCCACCCCTTCACGCCTTTGCCCAAACCTTTCCAGGGTCAAAATGACCTGTCCCTTCTGCTCCCTTCGTCCACCTCAGAATCACTTTTTCGTTTCTGGTCCAGACCCATTTACTCTGAGAGGTGTGTTCAATGGACATCCTTAGAGAATTAAAGTTGGGGGCATCTGGAGAAACTAACATGCACCTAGATGGGCTCCACTGAGATGGTGAGTGCTCTCAGGATCAGGCCGGGTGAAAACCTACGTACGACAGACGGCGCAGGGGCCACGTGGGGCCACCTGAAGTGTGTGAGTGGGGACAGGTCTGTTTCTGCACAGATCCACAGGGCAGACCAAGGATTATATGGTAAAGGCGGGAGGTGCAAGCAGAGCCATTTCCACTCCAAGAAAAGGAGGACTTAAACAGCACTCTTTGGCAACTGTGAGGAACACAGTGACCTCCAGTCAGGGCAGCAAGTGCGTTTAGAACAATGGAAGCAGCAAGCAGAGCAGCATGAAGGGGATGTCTGTGAGGCAAGAGGCTTAGTGGTGTGTGCGCCAAGTTCCCACAGGATTTCAGCTGGAAGCAAGATCCTCCCTGCTGGTTCCCCATCGACCTGTGAGTACTCTCCCCTAGGCAGCCAGGCCTCAGAGCGAAAACCTCATTCACCTGACATTTCTATCCCAAAACCACTAAGCCGAGACCAAGCACAAAAACTCAGCTCAGGGAACTTCCCCAGTGGTCCTGTGGTTAACACTTTGCCTTCCAATGCAAGGGGTGTGGGTCTGATCCCTGGACGGGGAGCTAAGACCCCACTAAGATCCCACATGACCGGCAATCAAAAGAACCAAAACAAAAAGACAGAAGCAACACTGAAACAAATTCAATAAAGACTTAAAAAATTCAGCTCAGTGAAAGTGACCTGCTGGCAGCAGAGAAGCCCAGCTCCGGACTGAGGAACAGAACCCTCTGTGGGTTTGGCTGACTAGTGGGTAGGCGTAGCTGGGTTTCCTCAATGTCCCACCGTCCTCCTGAAGGACATGCACCCTCATTCCAAACAGCCAGGGAGTCTGCTTTGGGAAGGGCTCACAGCCCACAGCCAGGGCCACCTCTGCACCAGCCCCAGATCTAACCTGTCAAGTCCTCATGTCCACCATGAAGCCCCTGCATCATCTTCACAGGGTCTTTATACCCTTGTAAGTCCTTCTTAGCTTCTCCAGAAGGATGTAACTTACAAGGCTGCCTCCGAGGGGAAGCTCTGGGCTGTCTGGCCTCCCATCTTTAAAATTAGTCTTGGAGATGCTATTTCAGCCCCCAACAGTGTGCTTCCCAAGTCATCATCAGTCATGCGGATGACAGCCCCTACCCTGGCGGCACGCCTGCACGCCGCTTCAGAGCTCAGAAAACTCACCTGTCGTCGTTGGCTCTCTGCAGGGCTCCTCCTCGTAACGAGCACAAACAGCAGTCCTGCCACGAAGGGGGGGAGGAGGAGTGGTCACCACCGAATTATTAACAGCCAATCTGTTCTCCTCGTGACTTCCTTCGGGCAACTGCAGCCTCCACAAGAGAAAGCCTGGGAGGCCTCGCCTGCATAGCCCCCAGAACCAGGACTCCCCTGCAGGAGGACAGGGAGGCCACTCGGGGCTAAAGTGCACTAATTATTCGCCTGACTTAACCTAATTGTCTTCACTGTTAATAGTAACAACTGAAAGGAAAGTCATGAATGATACCCTGCTCAAGCTGCGGGCATTACAGGGCTCTGGCTGCCTCCTATGCGGTTATTGCCAGGTTCCACATGGGAGTGAAGAATAAAGAGAAAGCCACAAAATGAACCATCTGAGTCCTGTTCTGATGCTCTGACCTGATGGCTCAATTCTTTACAGGGGACAGTGGTCTGTTCACCAGAAGACCTCTGCTTGGTCCTGACACAATGGATCGAACAGCTTCCGGACGCCATTGGGCCCCGCTGCAGATGGGCAGCAAATGCTGTCATGGTGGGGGGGATTTATTCCGACAACACTCTCACATCACAGTGTACCAGGTCCTGCTCAGACCACTGGGGCAGAGTCCACGTGAAACAGAGTGGCCCTGAGCAAGCTCGTCTCACGGGGAGCCAGCGACAGCATGGATGCACTCACCTCTTCCAGGGCATTGGCTGAACACCGAGAACACATCCAGTCTTCAGAAGCCTTTGCAGGGGGTACCCCGTAGCAACCTAACAGGGACACCGAGGTGAGCAAGTTAAACCCAGAGTCCAAAGGCAGACCTGCAGCTCTTCTCCAAATACCCTTTCCCAAAGAGACAACCAAATCTTAGAGACCACTGAATTCTAGCACCACGCCCCCACAAATCAGTCATACAGGATGAACCGAAGTCTCAAAACGTCAGAAACTATAATTCAGTGGTACCAATACCCAGTGAGCAGCAGGGACTAGTCCCCTCCATGTATCTGCAACCAGGGGGACAGCCCAGGGCAGCCAGTATGAGCAGAGACCCAAGTCACAGACCTGATCTGACCACTCCAACAACACATAAGCAATTTTTGCACTGGGGGTGGGGGTGGCAGGGGAGGGCCCTGGGAGGCTGTGGGGAGACTGAGAGCGGGGAGGATTTGGTCAGATGCCCTTGCCCTGGGACCGGATGCAGAGAAGAGGTGAGGCACTCACTGGCATGGACCCGGACACTGCACTTCTTGCAGGACACCAGAAGGCTGGTGCCGTCCTCCTCCAGGTAAGGGGTGGACAGGTTGATGTCCGTGCTGCAGCCAGTCGAGGTGAAGCACATTTCTGGAATCAATGGCTTGGTCCTCTGAGTCTGGGGGGCCAAATCTGGAGCGCTGCCGCAGCTCTGACTAAAACCTCCAAACTCCACCTAAGGAGGGGGCGAGCACACACCTCAGGGACCTGGCCTGTGTCCTGCACTCCCCACCGCTGTCAGCAGAAAGCAGCTCTCTTCCTGATGGGCCGGCTACGGCTCCCAGGTGCACAGCCATTATCCCAGAGCTGCTAATTGAAGTTACCTCTAATGACTCAAATTCAATTTCTCAAGGCAGCATCAAACAGGCCCCCCGGGGACAATGAGAAGAGGAAGAAAGGTAAGAGGCAACTGGGACTTCAATCTTTCCCAACCAGACGGTAATAAAATGCACCAGGAGCTGGCGAGGCTGTTCCTGGGGGCCTCCCTCTGTTGCCCAGCACGGCGCCCCACCCAGGGAGAGGCCCCAGCGCGGATTCTTCTCGAGGCCATGTCAGCAGTCACCTGAGCTGCAGCTCTGTCACATGGCTGGAGCCCCACATGCTCTTCCTGGCTTGGGGCCCCTTCGGGAAGAACACTGTGTCCATGTCCTTCCCTTGGCAAAGAGCCTGACCGCGAGGATCTGCAGGCTCTGCTGCTGGATGGCACATTCACCCCCTGTTCCAAGGACGGGGCCCAGAAACATGTCAACTCCAAGCCTGTGCCATTCATGGAACGCTGAGCCCCGCTCGACAGATAAAACAGCCAGGCCATCTGCCAGCTTCCCGCCCAGTCAAGGACATGTAGTGAACTTTTGGGTTCACTTTTTGGTTACTGGAAAGAAAGAATGAGTTACTAACTCAAAGTACACTGGTCTGAAGTTTCATTCTTTGGCAAACATGAACTTGGGGCCCCTGCCAGGCTCAGGGACAGCCACGCCACTCTAACTAGCACAGCAGACTGGCTCCCTACGTGCTGCCCTGTGTAGGTCCCAGCTGACACCGAGCTGGTCCTCTGGCACAGGCTGCTGTGGGTGCCCTCTTGGCCTCCAAGAGCTAGACTCAAAGAGACCCATGACAGTGGAGGCATCAAATGCCCCACAAGTGGGAGAGGCACAGCTGGGCTCAGCCAGGGTGCTTTCCCACCCCTCTTCCTCCTGCAGAGCCCCTGCTCCTGCCCTCCCCAGGTGCCCTTCCACTGCTGCCAGCATCCACAGTGGCGATGGGCAAGGAGGAAAGAGACAACACTGCAGGATCTGACTTTTCAGCTGACACTCAGACTGATTTAAAGAATCCCCAGTTCTCCAGACTGGCCAGGACAACCAACCATCTAAAAGGAATCATCACTTACTAGAAAGAGCAGGTTCCTCAGCAAACAGTGTGAGTGCCAAAGGGAGCTGGGAATCCCCCAGAACCCAAGTCACACCCTCTGCTCTTCCCCAAAGCATTCTCAAGTGAAACCCACAGGCTTACCTGCCTCGTGAAGCCTTTCCATCCAGCAGGCGGATGGGGCAAAAACACACCCTTCCCAAACTATGCACCCACCATTAAAGCTAGCTTTCCTGAGTGCTGGCACTCGGTAAACAGAGGGGATACGAGGGCTTACCTGATGGTAAGTCTGAAAGATCATGCAGACGGCGCAGTGAGGGGCCTGCTGGGCCATGGCCTCGTTGAACTCTTTCTCAGCCTCAAAATTTGGAGGTCGGTTCTGCCAGAGCTGGCTCAGGGGCTTGGCCCAGGCCTCTGTCTCCTCAGCCTCCTCCTCCGGGGTCAGCTGTTCTGATAGCTCTAGAGGAGCAAGCAGAGGTGTGAGTCAGGCAGGCAGCACCAGCCTTGCTCTGTGGCTCTGCCTGGAGAGCCAGTGAGCTCAGCTCAAGCTGGGACGTTCCGGTTCCGGGTCGGGACTAACCCGAGAACCTATGGGTGACAAAGGCAAAGGGCAGGAGTGATTTTCAAAGGACTCCTCCAGTATTTGGACGATGTTGTGGGGAGCCCTGCAATCCGTGGCTACAACTCCTCCAATGACCTCCTCACTTCTTCCCAGACAGGAATGCCTTTCAAGAGACCCTGGAGACCTATGCTGAGCAGCCCAAGGAAAGCTCTGGAGAATGTACTGAGGTAAGCTACCCATTTATCTGTTTATTCCTTACAACTCAAGCTCAGTGCAAACAAACAGTTATCTCCTCCACCTTCAATCATGTTTAATCCAAAGGGATCTGGCAGCTGCCATGCACGTGATCTCAGTGAAGGGGACCATAAGGGATTGCAGTTAAAATCTAACCTTACAAGCCCCATCAATCAGGCCTAAACAGGAGACATGGTGCCAAAATCCAAGCACATGTATTATCCTAGTCACAACAAGAGTGATCGAGACAGGAGCAGAGAAACAGAAACAGACCACTCACAATCACAGAAAAATGACTACACGCACACTTGCGATGCTTACACAACCAAAAGTGGCCAAGAAGCACTCTACTTGTGAATACTGAACGAATGATGAAAAAGTTCAATAGTTTAGTGAAAACCACAGGAACCAAAATTTCACAGCTTACATGGATAAAACCTCATTGAGCCGCACAGTTTAGCCACTATGTGCTTCACTAAATTTAAAAAAAAAAAAAAAGTTTTAAGTAGAGAGAAGGGTGTGTGAGTCCAAGAGCCTGAAGAAACTTCTAAATGCAATGCATGACCCTAGTTTGGTTCATACTGGATTAGAGGGAAAAAACACATTTTTAGGATGAGCAGGGAAAGATGAATATGGACTGAGAATCAGGATATTATGAAGTTACTCCTTACTTTCAGAGGTCAAGTGTTTACACAGGAGACAATCCTACACAGAAGATGCCTGTTGGTTCACTTTAAATGAAAAGATTTGATAATTACGTCTTACCTCCAAATGACACAGCAGATATGTATGCTCATATGTAAACAATGCATGTGTGCGCGGGAAGTCGCTTCAGTTGTGTCCGACTCTACAAGTCTATGGACTATAGCCTACCAGGCTCCTCTGTCCAAGGAATTCTCTCTAGGCAAGAATACTGGAGTGGGCTACCATGCCCTCCTCCAGGGGATCTTCCTGACCCAGGGATCAAACCCACATCTCTTATATCTCCTGCATCGGCAGGCAGGTTCTTTACCACTAGCACCACCTGGGGAGCCCAAACAATGTATAGGGAGAGACAACGCAATTATGGCAACACACTGTATTCTTACTCTTTCAACTTTTCCACATTTGAAGTTTTTTAAACATAAAAACTTAGAGAGGTGTATATTATGATCTAATTCGCATTATCAGAAAAAGACATACGTGGACATAATCTAACATCTGACTAGGACAGTCAGGAACAGTGACACATTGAAGTGACCAGAGTGGTCCTCTTTGCGGGGTTATCTTGTCCTCTTTACAGCTTTTCCAGTTTCCCCAGTTTTCTACAGTCTGCATTGCTTTAGCACACTGGGGAAAAATCAGAAGCGAGGCTGCTGCCGACCTCGAGGTTCTGAAGCCGCCATCAGGGCTAGAGGAAGACCATAGAGGACTTCTAAGGCTCTGAATCAGGGTCTCAAGAGTCTTTCCCCACCCAGCTCATCGTGACCTTCTATCAAAGGAGAACAGCAGAGGTGGGCGTCAACATCACATCAGAGAGGGAACGTGAGGCTTGTGGAGCAGGGGGATGGGCTGACTGAGGAGCCTCTGGGCCTTCCCACCCAGCCCTGGGCGTGGGCAAGGACAGGACAGGGAAGGATGGGGCACCAGGCAACAGTCACAAGGGGCCTAGTCACTGCAGACCTTGGAGGGTCTGCCAGCTCCAGGCGGCACAGGAGGCCACGCTGTACTGATGGCTATCACGCTCTGAGCTGCCAGTCTCCTCCACATGCATCCCTGCCTACTCCCCTGTCTCCTTCACAGCCTCTTCTTCCTCGGTCCTCCCAACCCCAGCCTCTGCGCCCCCTCCCTGAGTGGTCCCCTTTAATAAAGATGTAAACACCCCCTCTACCCCCCAGGTCTACATCTTCCGCAGACACTGAACATAGGTTTCCAAACCCAACCAACACTAGAACCTAGGGAGGCACCCAGCTCAGGCTTCGCCATGCCGCCAGCCTCACAGCACCGCCAGCCTCACAGCACCGCTCTATCCTCCACCCTCCCCACGGGTCACCGTGTCCCCTCCCCCACCCCACCTCCACCTTCCTAGTTCAGACCCCTGGACCTCCTGGAGGCTGTGACAAAAGGCCTCTGCTCTGTCTAAGGCACAATTAGGAATAATCTTTCTAATGCAAATCAGACCAAGCCCCTCCTCTGGGGAAACGCTTCCAGGGCTCAGAACGCCCAAGGCAAATTCCTCACTCTGGCTCACAACCACCTCATTCCTCCTCCTCCAAGCCCTGGCCTGGTTCTGGAAGCCCAGCCACAGTGGGCTGGCTCCTCTGAATATACCTCCCTGCCTGTCTCCACGGTTACTCACACTGTCCCTTCCACCTGGACCACCACCTCCTCAGTCAACTACCCCATGGGCTTCCTGAGGGCATGGACATATCTCAACTTAATCTTTGTCGCCACACATCCAGCACAGGGCCCTTGGCATCAGTGACAGAACCTGCTCCCCTGAACAATCAGCCACACCTCCTAAGAGAAGCAAGGGAAGAACTTGCCTGCTACGATCCTTCAGTAGGCAAATCCCAAGACACTCGAACCTATAATGAAATCTGAGAATAAGTCTGATATCCTGAAATCCAGCCCTCTGCACAGAATACCTGGGGGGAACAGCTAAGCCACAGGCCCACCCCAGCCTTCCGTGTGGCCTCCCGAGGTCTTGGAGGAGGTCCTGATGTGGAGAGAGCCTTTCTTCTGGAGATGAGCGAAACCACCACTTACCATCATCGCTGACGCAGTCCTGCAACACGAGCGGGTGGTGGCGGGGGAGCTTGCTTAAGGGCTGACGGCGGCCCTTGGACTTCTTACTGTCTTCCAGGGAAAACATATATTCATCCGCAACCTGGGCAAACCAAAGAAGAAATCAGGTTGGCCTTTCTGCCACTTGGGGACACAGCAGTCAGTCTTACAGTGAAAACCAAGGGAAAGAGCAGGGCAGAGACTCTCAAAGAAATAAATATAAAACCAAACATGGAAAACACCTGTCTTAAAAAAAGCTACAGTGACAAGTGTCATGCAAATCAGCCTAAACCAGGATTATGTAAACCATTTTTGCTTTAGTAAGTGTGGGTCTCAGAAACAGGCTGAAACAAATGTACCTAAACAAATCTGCTCCAGCTCTTAACAGCCGCTCCCTTAAGCTCACTGACAAGAGGCCGTGTCTGAGAGCCCAGCCAAGTTCCTTTCCTTGGACCAGAAGGCCAGCAGCAGCTGTTATAAAGTGCTGGGCACCTGGGCCATCTAAGTTTGAAAGGCCCGAGCACATGCAAAGGAGAGAGGAGTAGCTGACCCATTAAAAAGAAAACAGGCCACTTCCTCTGCACCTTCAAGACCTCAGCTCTAGCTGACACTATCTGTTCCTCTTCTCCAGAGAACACCATCCAGGACAGAGAATGCCTCTGAAACTGTGGCCTGACTGCAGAGAGAAAGGCTGATTTAATGTTGCATTTACATAATGTCAGAGCAAATGTGAGTAGGTTTAAGGTGTAAGGACTGAATCAGTAATACCACATCAGAGTTTCCTTCTAATCGACGTGTTTAAAACTTGGTTGTACTGACTTTAGAAGACATGGGTTACGGCAAAATCTATTGAACGAGGAACTGAGGCCTGGAAAAGGACCACTCTGCAACTGTGACAGAAACCAGCGCTTTAGAGTGCTGCAGAGAAAGGGGTAGCATCGCAGTGCCCCCTCGGAGAAGGGACACTGGACCTGCAGACTCCACGTGCCACTACACAGAGCCCCAGGACATAGGAGTCACACTTGAAAATGTCAAGAAAAACCAAATGCTGAGCAGGTCACAGCACAGAGCCCACTCTTTCAAACATAAATTGAGTGTCTATTTGCCCACTCATTTAACAAATATTTACCAAGACCTACTGAGTCCAAAGGCCTGCTGGGGGAAGGTAGGTGTGGAAAAAACATGACCCCTAGGGTGTTCCCTAGCTCAACACAAGCAGTGATGCTCATAGCGGCATGCGATGATGTGGAGAAATTAAACGAAGACTATCACAGACTTCATCAGACCAGAACTACATCAGCAGTCTAAAGCAGTGCCTTCCAAAATGTACATCAAGAAGGTGCCATGAAAGCCGCCATTAGAGTGAACAGCTTAAGGCTCCAGGTCCACCTCCATTCTGACCACAAGGGCCCTGCTTCTGATTTACATTTTTTAAATGAGTAAGAGGTCACGTAAGGAGCGGATTCTTCGGCTCAACAAACTGGAAATATCCACCAAATTTATTTGATAGCGTAATCATGAAAATAAAAAATATAGGGATATGCACCCCAATGTGTGTATACTTACTGATGAGTTATATACACTAATGTACTTATACACACCTTAAAACAGACTGTGAAAGGATTAAGATTAAAAATAAAGTTCCATTATTTGATTCCTGCTCTTTCATAATCTTCTTACTACGAAGACTCCTTAGACAACAGCCCCAAAAGTGAGTTGTGGCAAAGGCCAGGAAGTACAGGTGTGAGAAGAAGGGGGCAGAGGTGGTGGGGATTTCTGGCCTAGGTCTCCTGGGTGACCAAGGTCAGAGACTAAGAGGGTTCCTGTGGACGAGGGGGGGAGTGGTAACAAGCCAAGTTAAACCGCTGCGTATGGCACACACAACCCCCGTCTGTGGGTCCTTTGTTTGGAAATACCCAGGGGGCAATAAGAAATTCAGCCTGGGAGTTCAGAAAGGAAGTCAGAGCAAGAGCTATGGACTTGGGAATCCTGGACATCAGGCTCAGAATTTAAACGGTGAAGTGAATGAGATGATCAGTGGAAGATATACTGACTGGAGACCATGCCTTCCAGAGCAGGGAAGAAAGGAGATGCTGGGGAGAGGGGGGTTTCCTCCAGGAGGAAATCCACAGTCCAGACTACAGAAGAGCAGTGGCCAAGGGGCTCAGCAACCGGGAGGTGCCGGGACTGTTTTAGAGATAAACACCAGTAGATACACAATAAGGAACTAGGGAGCCAATGTCATCACACAATTTTTGAGAAGATTAAAAGAAGGAATGAGGTGACAGCTGAGAAGGAAATTTCCTTCTATTGTATTTTAAGAAAGGAGCTTAGAGTATGGTTTTACTAGTGAAAAAGCTTGTCCCCCAAAGATGCACAGTCCGAATCCCTGTGAATACGGTAGATTAACAGGACAAAGAACTGTTAGATTGCTAATCAGATGACCATCATCCTGGATTGTCTGGGTGGGCCCAATGTATTCAAATGCTCAACAACAGAAGAAGGTAGCAGAGGTCACGGTCAAAGTGATGTGACTTGGCCAGATGTTGCTGCCTTCAAAGGTGGAAAGAAAGGGTCAGGGCCAAGCAATACGGACGCCCTGTGGAAGCTGGAAAAGGCAAGGAAATGGACGCCCCCCAGGAAGGTACAGAGCCCTGCTGACATCTTGTCTTTAGCACCTGGAGGCCCGTTTCAGACTTCTGAACTGAAGAACCAGAAGAAGGTAAATTCAAGTTAAGATGCTAAATTTGTGTCCCTTGGTAAAGCAGCAACAGAAAATGCACATGGGGATAGGAGGTGGAGATTAATTATTTCACAGGCAAGCAAAACGCCTCTCATTCACTCCTGGAGGAGGCAAAGGGGTCTGGACCAAGAACACCAGAATGTTGCTTGGGGAAAGGAGGCTGCCTCTGTCCACCCCTCTTTAACCAAAGTGCCTACTGCACACCCAGGAGATGCGCCCAGAGGACCATGCCTATTGCTGGGAGATGCAGAGATGGTGAGATGTGACCTCTAACCTCAAGGGGCTTATGACCCAGCCAGAGTCTAAAACTGCCCTTCCTGCTACCATCACTCTGCCTCTGACCAAAGCAGTCGGAACTATCCATACTGAACATCCTTCCACATTTTCATCTCTTCTGGCTAAGTACTCCTCCTGGTCCTGCCTTTCCCTCCTATGCACTCCAATTTCTAAACGCCTGCAGGATTTAACAGAAAGAACTGGACTCAAACCCTGTTTCCACCAATTAACCACGTGAGCCAGGGTCGGTGGCAACCCAGTAATAAGAGCAGGTGAAGAGCACTGTGCCCGGAGCTCTTGGTGAGGACAGGGTGGGAGAGCAAGCCAGGAAGAGAACTAGAGCTCCAGGCTCCCTGAGTTCTGTTACCCCCTTCACATGAGCAGCCAGGTCAAGGTCAATGCTCCTGATGGGGCTGGTTCTGTGCAGAGAAGAACCAAGTGTTCTCTCTCCTTCTTCAGGGAACTCACTTTTTCAAAGCAGCCTGAACTGACAAGAACTTCTGCAGCAGGCTCATCACTGTGCAAAGACTCAGGCGGTGGGGCTTCAGCAGTCAGTCACCGGGGCCCTTTCACCAAGGCTCCTGACACAAGACGGCGGCACATAAACTGAACGGCAAGTGGTCCAGATAACACCTTGAGGGATACTTAAAGCGTGGGGAGGGAGCCCACCAGGGTGTTCTTCAAAACCCAGCTGTTTCCAAATATAGACATGATGCTCTTAGACCTCTCCAGGGATGGGCAGAGTGTCTCAGCTTCTGCCCAAGCCTTGACTGTCAGTCCGCCATTCTGCCCAGGGAAATCAGCCCTCGTGTCAGTTTCTAACTGAAGCTATACTTCCCTTCATTCCACCCCTGTTTACAGAGGCTCCTGGGCTAAGCCCTGGGGACCACGTCGATGCCTCAAGAAGGGAGGCTTAAGGCGGCCCAGGGCCTGGTTCCTAAAGGTGCACCTTCACCAGCCTGGGACAACCGCACTGAGACCAAGACCCAGCGTCACCGACAAGGAGCAAGGTGCTAGAGGGACTAAAGGAGGCAGGGAAGCAGCTGGGAAGCAACGGAAGGCTCCCAGGACTGGTGGCTTGTGAAAAGAGCTGTGCCCCCATAAGCAGGGGACTGTTACAGGACGGACGATGGCCTCTTCCCCCCTCCAAAGCCGGGTGCCAGTGGGACAGTGGTGTGAGGCGCTAAGAAACAGTAGAATGGCATTTTATGTCATGCATATATCACCACAATAAAAAACCCTCTTGCAGCCATCCCCTTGTCTCCTGCCTCTGCTGGAAACCACAGCATTCGCTCCTCTCAGAGCCCCCCCATTATCTCCCATCACCCCCTCTTCAACACAGGCCCACTCCGCCTGCTGCCACTGTCTTCCCTGCTCTCCCCCCTGGCGCTGCACAATGACCCTCTCCTAGTTCTCCAAACCTCTGGCTCTCTCTTCTCATTGTTTTTCTCCTTCCCAGGCCTGCCACCTCTACCTACACTGTGAAAACTGCTCCACACGCCCCACCGGGGAGCTGTCCACACCCGCCGACACCCTCCAGGTGGAGCGGATTCCCAAAGCTACCCATCGCGGATGTGTGTATACACATCTCCACAGCCTGCCTCAGGAGCAGGTGGCACTTAGCATGCCCCAGACTGAACTCATGTCCCGAGCCACACTCAAATTCCCCTTCACTTTTCCTGTGACTTTCACCCGCCACCAACATACCCCTGTCCATCCTGTAACACAAGTCAGCATTCCAGGTCACCCCATGGCGCCCTCCCACTCCTACCTTCCAAGTAGTGGCCCCAGACCCCAACCCCTACCACACAGCTCAGATCCTCACCACCTCTCAGATTAAGAAGCAGGTTTCAAACTGACTTCCCTACTGCAAACCTTTTTTTCCCTCCTGTCCTCAAGTATTTAAAAATAACATGGTATTCATAAAAAGTATTCAAACAATTTATAAATGCATGAAGTGAAAATCATCCATAATTCTACCTTCAAGAGAATGTCTGCTGTTTCTAATTTTGCCTCCTTCTTCCCGAAAAAACCTTAATATTGCTTCCAAAATGATCTCCCGAAACATCAATGCAAAGCTAAAAAAAAATACTTCACCGGACAGTCCAAAGAATAACTGACAGAGTTTCTTGAGTCAGCGATAGGGGGTCAGAAGGGCACAGCCCTAGATCAAGGCAGAATTAAGAGACATAATAAACAAATGTCAGGTGTAAGACTAATTAAATCTCAATTCAAACAAACCTACTGTCAAATACATTTTCTTTAGACTACTGGGGAAACTGATTGTGAACTGAGTTTTAGATGATGCTAGAAAACTTGTGTAATTTTGTTAGGTATAATAACAGCATGGTGATTAAAACACACCCATATTTTTCAGAGATACACACTGAAGCAGGAAGGAAATTACATGACATCCATGTCATGATTTGCTATAAAATACTTCAGGAAATTAAAGGGACAGATGAAGCATATGTGGCAAAATATTAACTGTTAGATCCCAGTGATGGTGACGAGTATTTATGGTTTGCTGTATTACTCCATATGTATCTTTGTGCATCAAAAAAAAAAAAGACATGTTACAGAAATCTTCACTCTCCAAAAACACACGTCAGGTAAACTTCCACTGCCCCCTCGCTCTGTCTCTGAAGTCAGAGTCTCAGAGAACAGGCAGAGGTCTAGGACACCTCCTGACACCCTCCACTCACAACTCCCAAGGCCCTCTCGTCCTATATGCCTGAGATCAACAAAACCTCTGTGGACCCCAATCTGCTCTGACGCTGGCATGAGCCCGAGCTCCAAAGAGAACCCTCTCCTCCGCCAGATTCACGCTCTTGCTAACCTTCGTCTCCTGCCGTCCCTCTGACCCCTTACCCCAACCCCAGGCGGAGCTGCTAACACTTCCACCACGTGTGCTGCAATGCAGATCACCAGGGACTAGAACTCCCTGCTCCAATCTGTCTGCTAGCCTCGACGACGAGCTCCTTTGAAGGTACCATCCTAGCCCAGAGCAGGCACACAAACCACTACAGAGTAAAGCAAAGAAGAGGTCAAGCAGCCAAGGTGTATCAGTGACTCTGAAGTAGTTCAAAGACGCTAGCACATCAAGGGGGGAGGTAGGAGAGGTGGCAGGTGACTAGCGGAGAAAAGGTATTCAGGCTGCAGCTGAGAGGCCCACACACAAGCAAAAAGGAACCACGTGGTTTTGGAGCAGGGGTCACACAGAGAGGCGTGTTAAGAGAGAAGCCTCCTCTCCCAGAATGTTTCCACGGGAGGAGTCCTAGCTTTGGCTTCGCTGGGATCTGCCTCTTACAGAGGGAACGCACTGCTGCCTGTGTGTACAACACGCGGAAGGACAGAGTGGGAGACACTCTGCCTCTGTGAGGGGGCCTGAGCGATCCAAGGCTGCCTGTGACCAGACGGGTCATCTGTCTAGCTGAGGGTAAACAAGCATCAGGGCTACTTGGCCACGGGTCAGAAACACTCTCCTCAACCATTTTAACTGGTGACAAAGTGACATTCTGAGCTCCATATGCCCATGTCCTGTATCCACAACTTTATGGGTTCCTAATTTGGGAGGGGGGAAAAAAAAGGCTGTTATTTATTTACTGCCCCGCTATGATCTAGGAAAAAACCAACCAACCCTAGAAAAAACCTGGCTCATTGTCAGATTAATAATACACAATTAATAATTATATATATATATTAACATATAGCCTCAATACTGTAATGTATTTACTATCTAGTACGTCCCTGCTATTGTTAGCAGCTTCTGCGGTTGCACGTCAGGAGGATAGTGCACAAGGACAGCGTGGCCTGCAGAAACAGCAAGATGCTCAAGAGTACACAGAACTTTGTGAAGGACGACTGGGTTGCTGCCACGAGGAGTAGACGGGGCTCTGCTTTCCAAGTGGAAGAGCCCTCGCCTGTGGAAGTGACCACAGGAGGGCAGGGAAAGGGGGTCAGAGGCGATGGGGAAGCAGGGAAGGAAACACGGGGGTCACTGGCTCACCAGACCGCACCACACGTGAGGGAAGGGGGACTTCACATGGAGAAACAGCATCTACAGAATCTGAGCCTAAGATGCAGAAAGAACAGAAAGAAAAATCATATGGGTGTTAAAGACAAGGGGGCAAACCAACCACAGAAAGGCACTGCCGAAAAATTAAGAGAATTTGAATATGGACAAAGCATTAGTACTTCAGGCAGAGAAAAGATAAAGCCAGCACATCAAATGTTAATACACAGAGATAATGTGCACGCACCGGGGTAATGCGTGCACACAGGGGGCTCCTGACAGTATTCTGTCTGTGCATACTTTAACGATGCTTCGGAATAAAAATTTCGGAGGAGAACGGATACACATGTATGTATGGCTGAGTCGCTCTGCTGTCCAACTAAAACTATCACGAGGCTGTTATATGGCTATACTCCAAAACAAAATAAAAAGGTTTTTAAAAAAGCAAACAAAAACTTCTAAAAGACAAATTTTCCAAAGGTGAAGAGAACAGGGAATCGAGGAGAGCTTCTCTGTGCTTGCTCAGCCCAGCTGCAAATTCACCACAGGCTGTGAGGCTGGGGAGAGAGGTCACCGGGCAGGCCTGGGCCAGGCTGTACCCAACGTGGCCCTGCTACACCCCACGCAGACCCACCAAGTGCCTTTCTACCCAGAACAAACAGAAAACATAGCTTCTGGCAACAGCGTGTTCTGGGAGGAAGCCTGAGCAAACACGTCCCTGTTGATGGCTCTGGGATTCATCCTGGTCTCCAAAGGATGCTGTCAGCAGTGTCGTACCGGGAGGGGGAGGATGAACACGGGGAGGGGCCGGAAAACTCCCAGGGCAGCCCAGGGTAAGAGAGGCCACGTCATTCCAACCCTCGAACACCAGACTGCAAACACCGCTGCTCTAACCCTGCACCCCTAAGGCCAGGAGGGTCAGAGCATGTGCCCCACTCAACTGAAGATCCACTATGGGTGGCCAGGGAAGCCACAAAGCCATTCTTTGGAGCAACAGTCACATAGAGATAACAGGGGGGAAAATAAAACCCTCCCAGCAAAGAACAAGCTAAAGTGACCCAATGCCACCTGGCTTTTGCGTGACACAACTGCAGGCTGGAGGTCCATCCTGAGGGCCTCCTCCTGCCGTCGGGGACCCTGCAGGAGCCCACCCCCAGTGGCCCACCCCAGCACCCGTACCTCGTCCAGTTCCCTCTCACTGATGCTCCGGGTGGTGCCCCCTTTCTTCCTGGCGCACAGCTCTCCCGAGGTGACCCTGCCGTCCCCTTTGGCATAGCTGTGCACCGTGAGGACACCTGTCTGCCCCTGGGCTCGGCAGGACAGAGGCTCACTGGTTTCGGAATCGGAAGAGACAGAATCCTGTGAAGAACCGGAGCCCAAGCTGGAAGACGATTTCTTTTTGGAGCCTGAGAAGATGAGGCGTCCCCCAAGAGAAGCTGGGTTCACAGAAAGGTCCAAGGCGGCTGCTTCGTGCTCCTCTTCCTCGTCCTCGTCCTCCTCTTCCAGCTTGACATTTTTAAGCTCTTCAAATTTGACTTCGGTGGAGTCAGAATAATCTGAAACACACAAGTCACGTTGGATGGAGCCCACTCCCTCCTGCGCGGCTCAACCCCGAGAGAGGGACACAGACCAAAGGACGTGGGCGGCGAGGAAGGCCTGGTTTCCAACTCTCTGGCTCCACCATAACGGGGTCCCTATGCGATCTAGGGCAAGCTGCTTAGCCTCTCTGGGCCTCCGGTTTCCTCCTCTGTGATGTGAGGACGCTACCACCTCCTGCCAGGGTTCTTAAATAAGACTGCGACATAGGAGGTGGGAGCACAGCCCGCACACAGCACCCGGCAGCTGTCCTTTCCCCAGAAGTCTCCTCAGCTCAGCAGAGACCCAGCGAGCCGGGCCAGGAAGTCTGCTCCACGGAAGAAGCTGGGCCCACAGGGCCGACGGCTCTCAGCACACCCCGGAGGAATCCTGTCCACGCAGCGGTCCCCCAAGCCGGGCCTGACCCAAGGCTGACACAAGCGCCTTCCAAATAAATCTACCCTTGATAACCGTCCACGGGAAGGCTTTCAAACACGGTGCTGGACCACACCATCCCTGCCTGAAATACCAACGGCCCCTCGGGCCCCCAGTGAGCAAGCTCTCAGACGGCAGGAAGGCAGCCCGCACGCTGTCTCATCCCATGTCTCAGGCGGCAGCTCCCGTGACACACCTGTCTCCTACCCTTCCCGCCCCCTGCTCAGATCACAGGATACCACTGCCAGCTCCCTGAACAGCTGTGGGCCTTCCCCCACGTTCCTCCGTGACCCTGGGTGTCCCCACCCAAAGCGCTTCCCACACTCCAGTCACCATCTGCTCACAGGCCCGCCTCCCTCGTGTCGTGCCTGCGACCCTGCAGTGACGTGGCGTCCAACACAGAACACAACGGTTAAGGCTGCGGGGGAAAAGCACCGTGACCAGCTCACCTGGGAAGCTGAGGCTGTCCTCAACCTGGCGCACGGAGCTGTGGGTGGGCCTCACGGGAGCGAGGGCGGCCTGGCACTCCACCATGTCGTACTGTCCGGAGACCAGCTCCTCCTTGGGGAAGAGCTCGCTCTGACTCACCTCCTGAGGGATTTCAAGACAAATGCGGTGCCTCTTTGTCCCGATCCGGTGCTTGGCCAGGCTGCAAGGAGGAGGGCACACTTTTTAAGAGCCGGTGTGTATGTCTGCTTACACAAACACATCCCCACGCAACCTGACAGGAACCGCCAGAGCCTGCTTCACACTCTGGAGCCGCCCGAGACCGGGGACTTCACAGCCCTGAGCCTGTTCCGTCAAGTGCAATTAGGGACGTCGCCGCCCACCTCACAGCGCTGACGTGAGACTCGGGAAAAGCTGTGCTGAGCATGCGCAGAACACCTGCATAGAGCAGGTACCCCCATGAACGCTCCTCTCTTCCCCACGCAGCCCCGGGGGGGAAACCGCTGAGGACAGGTCCTCTGGCTGAGACACTGATGCTGCCCCTTGCCCTCATCAGCCTCATTCCCTGCACCACTCTCTCCTTTATAAAAAGCCCTCAAGCGACGGCAAAAAGGCGGGCTTCTCTGGCTGAGGGAGCCACACCCCCACAGAAACATGCGCCTCCCTCCAGGTGACTACGCCCGAGGAGAGGTGCCATCACCTCCACGTGCAGCTGTGAGGAAGGGTCTGAAGACTTGAGGATTCTGGAGCCTGCACCAAGAACCACCTTCCCTCAGCGGTGCTCAAACACCCCGCTCGGAAGCAGCCCCTGGACAGGTGACGGGACCTACCAGACATTCCCCTCACCCCCCAGCCCACCCAGGCAGCTGGGCCCAAGGGCCACAGGGTTACCTCCTCTTCAGGTCGCCCTCCTCTCCATCCTCCACCCCCTCCGTGTCCTCCTCCTCTGGGCACTCCTCCTCCTTCTGGGCTCTCAGGGCCAGTTCACTCTCCTTAAGAAACTCGGCCGCTTCTGGCGTGGGCAGAGTGTGGTCGATGACGGTGCTGTCCTTCCCAGCTTTCCAGAGCTTGTACTTTTCTGGCTGGAACTTCCTCACAAACACGTCCATGGAGATCTTCACCATGTCCTTCCTGCAGGAGCACTGTCGCAAGGCACCAGAGGGGTTCCAGGTGAGACCCTTCCCCTGCTCCCCCCACCCCCCTTCTCCCACTTCCTCCCTCCAAATGGAAAGAAGAGAACAGTTTCAGGCTGAACTGTTTGGGTTCACAGGCTGAGGGCATCATGTCCACGCAGAGCCTTCACACATGAAAGGAAGCAAGGCGAAAAAGGACGCGTGGCACTGGGGTGAGTCAACTGGGATGCTAGCCAGGGTGCGTGGAGAACAGTTAAGAGACAAGGCTCAGCATCAGACCCTGGATGCTCAACGTCCACCTTCCCTCTGCCATCTATTCAGGCCAGGATCTCGGCAGCAAGTCTGCTGCTGGCCAAATGTCCAGCCTTGCTGCTTCCTTAAAGTAAAAGGGAAGCCCATCAGATTTCTCCTCGACAGCAAACACCCAGAGCGGCTAGAGCAGGAAACAGCCCTGTGTGTGTGGGTGCAGTGTTAATGCCCAACTAACTCAAGCACGGAAACCTCGTTTTATACAACTCAAATCTGAACCAGTTTTTAAACATCCTTCGTGAACAAAAGATGCTGGCACTTTTGCACATTGCTTGCCACTCTGTTTCTCAATTCCAGCAGCTCAAAGAAACGCCAGCCAGTTTATCTAAGAAGGCTGGCTGGCTCAATCAGTTGTCTCTAGACACAGTTATTATGAAGGAAAACAGTGGACTTACCAGCACAGCTTGTTTGCCATACTCGATCCATCGCCGGGTGGCAAAGTTGGTGGACTCGGCACAGTTGAAGCCATGGTTAAAGCCAGCATGGTAGCCGTAAGGGAAAGTGATCATAAATTCTCCAGCTTCCTGAGTCACCTGAACAAGAGCAAACAGGAAGCAGTTGAAGTAAAGGGCAGGAATGCTGGGCTCCAGCTCAGCCACCTCTGAGTGACCAGGGACAGGTCACAAAGCCACCGGGGTCTTAGTGTCTTCCGTGACATGCAAAGTCCCCGCACATCAGACACCATGACTGTAGGTAATGACTCCTCTGGATTAACGCTGTTCAAGGGGGCTTGACCCTCCTCTGGCAGCAGGAAGGCAGCGCCCACCTTTAATGCATTGAGTTCAAAAGGTGACACAGATTAGTCCTGGCCCACACCTGGTACAGAGGAGCAAGTAGAATAAAGCTCCCTGTGAAATACACGCCAGAAAGAGTGGTTTCCATGTAAGCCAAGGACTGCTGTGTGCGCAATCCGCTCACCTTGTCAAAGGGAATTCCATATTTCTTCAGCATTAAAGGAGAAATCAAGGTCATCTTATGGCGGAGAAAAGCCTCACAGCTTTGAGCACTGCCTGGGAAAAAGCCTGTTTAATTGAAAACGGGTACAGTTAATACACGGTTCCACACTGGCTCTGTAACCCTGGAGTCACTTCACACAGTGCATCTCATCTAAATGTAAGGAGGATGAATCACCAAGGTGATCGCCACAGATTGTTCTAGCTCCAGGCCAGGCCTAGCGTTTTATGATGAGCCTCTGGGCTGTCCCCGGTGTAAGCTGTTACATGGGTCATCAAATCCTGCTTGGGGGACTGCCCTGGCAGCCTCTGTTCCCATAAAGAGTTTTAAAACTACTTAAAGCCTTTCTCCATTCACCAGGACCCTCAATCATTTGTTAGTAATACATCTACAGTACACATGACAAGTGCTTATGAAACAGTCTCTCTAGAGATACAAATCTACTAGAGTCCACTTACAAGAACCAAAGCATGAAATTCAACTTTGACTTGACCAACTGGGGTTCTGGCAAAAGAACCAGACCCAAGGTGACCAGTACACTATCCCTGGTCAAACAAACCCATGCATGATGAAACTGAGGCAAAGACAGTCTAACACTTACTAAGCCCCTTCCCAGGACCAAGTGGGGAAAGGCTTTGACTTCAGCTACTCTAAGACATAGCCAAACTGGCAGTCTGGCTCTCCCCCCACATGTGGGCCTAAGAAAGGACCACTGAAAGTGGACATCTGAGAGCCATGAGCGCAGCTCCCTGGCAGGTCTGACCCAGCCCACGGAGTGAACACCGTACCTTTGGCCAGGCGCTCCAGCCGTTTTCCGTGCTCGGGCGGGACGGAGTACCTGCAAGCACATAGAAGCAGTGGCCACTGAGCCAAGGGCTGGCCCGGGAAGGGGCCCAAGGGCTCGTGCCCACTCTCAGAACAGCTCGAAATATCAGACTTTTCAACTTCCCGACCACAAGAACTAGAAAGGGATCTGGAGAAATGAAGTATTAGACTGTCTGGGCACTGGAGTGGGGAACCCACACTGAAGGGCAAGCGATTTTTATCTTTTAAATTCATTAACAAGACGTTTATTCGATAGTTACCATGAACCAGGATTTATGGCACACACTCAACGTTGCTCTCCTTTATAATGTTATTCATGCAATAAAACTTAAAACAAAAAAAATAAAGAGAGAGAGAGAGAGAGAGGAGGAGGATGGCATTAAAGTGCTCCTGGCAGAGCCTGAAAGGCTTAACTGGGATGGGATAGAGAGAGAAAAATGGGCAACAAGGTGACGATGGATTAGGTACCAGAGACCTGGCCCCCATCTGCTGAAGAGCCCATTTCCCTTCGTCTCCTCAACAGTGCACTGATTATCCAGTAGCCACTCACGCCTCCAACACTGTGGGTATCCAGACACCATAGGATTGCCCTTCATTAAGAAACAAAAGGAAAAACTAAAGAACACATAGAAGACTATTTAAAACTTTTGCAAAACTGTTAAAACTTCATATTCAGGAACTCACAGTAAGTCTATTTTACCTTTATAATGCGTTCTAAAGACGATTCCACAACAACAAAACCTTCCCATCCCAAATAGTTTTGTTATGAAACAAAACAGATGAGGAAACTGTCTATCACCTAAAGGGCTCTGGGATCCATCAGGCAACCCTGAATACACATCTCTGGAGGAACTCCTTCAGGTGACCTAAAGAGAGTATGTAGTATCAAAGTCTAGTTTCAGGAACTTCAGGGTAAACGTGGGGAAGACACAAAATTTACTGACTCTAATAGAAGTCTAGCCTCTAAGGAACTGGGTCAGTAGTCGGGGGGTAATCACTGGCTCAAAAGGGTTCCCCACCCCAAGACTGGAAACTGGAAAGGCATCTGATGAACAAAAGAAAACCCCTGGGACAGGATGTGGCTGAAGAGGCTGGAAAAGGAATGGAGACAGACACAGCTTCCGTGACTCCCCAAGACCTGGTCAGTGTCCCCTCCAGCTTCCTCGCACCTCCATCCTCATAATCAGCACCCAAAGCACAAAGGACTTCCTTCCTCTAGTTACTCAACACACTGCGTTCACCCCCAAGTCTTTGCACGTGTTTCTAAAAACACCCAGACACGATTCCCTACCCCTCCTCCTAACCCACCACCACCCCACCCAGCCACATCCTCGTGTGCAAGGCCTCAGCTCGGCCATCACTTCTTCCAGGGGAGCCTTCTCTAGCCCAGCGTTCATGTGCCTTCCTGTGTGGACCTACTGCACCCACTGTTCCCCATCACAGCTTTTCTCCCACTTTCTCTCTCCTGATCAGTCTCTTATCTGTGCGAGGGTGAGCGCCTCATCGGTCTTATGCTCTGCTGAAGGCAGCACCTTCGCTGACACGCTGAGATGGATGGGTGGGAGCAGGCAGACGAGAGGGCGAATCTGCCTCCCCAGCCACACTGCGGCTGCAGTGAACAGCAGGGAGCGGATGCCAAGTGACCACATGTCCCCTCGTGGGTTAGGCACACACTGCTGCTCACCAAATATTTTTTCCATGAGGAAAAGAAAGCTTTCTATCGTCTGAAGGAGCGACTCCAGTCTTGGAGTCTGCCTCTAAGAAATGCCTCAGGCCTGTTCAGAAAAAGAAATCAGACAGCAGTGGGAAAGCTTGGGAGAGCCCCCGCAACTCTCGGTGACTCAGCCACCATCCGTTTCCACGTGATGGGACTAGCTGCCCTGCCCTCTAAAACCTGCTGCTTCAAGGGCAGGGAGAGCCCCAGCGCTCTAACAGCACCTTGCTGCTTCAAAGCCGGAAGAAAACGTACCACACCAGTCCCGCCCCGAGCCTGCCAGACCAGTGTCTGCATTTTATCTCGATCCCAAGGTGGTCCGTGTGCACCAGCCCCGATGCCAACTGCAGGCCGACTTTACCAGGACTTGGGCTCCCCGAAGTGCAGGTAATTGATGCTGTACAGGTCCATGTCTTCCGTGTGCCAGGCGAAGGATGTCTTCCACATGCCGAAGTACAGGTACGGGGTATTCACACCCTCGATGGTGATCCCACTCTCCTTTTCCACCAGGTCCAGGATGGTTCTCAGCCGGCCAATGTTCCACTCATCTACATGCTGCAGGGGATGTCAGATTGAATATAAACTGAGGCTCTGAACCCACCAGTCGCAGAGCAGGTCACAGGTGAGCTGTCACCTTTAACAAAGATTTGGCAGGCTGCTGAAACTGTGTGGACATACAGACCACAGCACCGCTCACTCGCTGTTCAGAGCTGCCACGGGAATTGATGCCACTATACCCCCCACAAAGAGCAAAACAACAGTGAACACTAGTAAGTGAAAGAGGAAAAAAGGGAGGTGACAGCCACCTGTTCTAAACCCAAGACGAAGAGTTTGAACAGAAGCCAAATAAACTTAGCTCAGAGGAAAGACCTCGCAAATCACAACAAATACAAAGCATGGGAATTAACTATACTAATTTGTGACTTGCCTAGCCCTTATTTCCACTGGGCAGTTTCTTCAGTAAAAAGTCTACAGTGAAACCCTGAGTTACAAAGGTCATCAAGAAGCCCACCTCCTGTAAAGATGCTCTGGATTTGTGCCTACAAGCTTCACTTCCCACCACCCAAAAAAAGCGGTCATCAACAGCAAAATTGGAATCCACTTTTTAAACGCATTCCTTCCACTAATTTACAAAAACAATAATCTGAGTGATAATCCCTGTAACACTCTACAGATTTTTCAGATCATCCTAAAACAGTCCCAAACAGCTCTTTTTTGCACCACATGTAAGGCTGTTCTCCATGTCCAAAACCACTATATCCTAAGCCAATGCAATTCGTTAAAAACAGCTTTTTCTACAGAATCTTGTTGGAAGATTCTCAAAATCTAAATGTTTCTTTTCTTAAATATATACCCCTTTCATTATATTAGTCAGTGATCTTTTTTTCACAGAAACCACATTGCCCTCCCCAACATTTCATTTACTGTGATCCCACCCTCTCTAGAACTCCTCAGAGCTACCACCCACAGACTATTCTAATGGCCCCTGAAAAGAACACAGTATCATCCAATTCACATGTAGAGTGGGAGAAATAAAATTCAGTCATGTGCAAAACTACCCCTGATTAAGTGAGCACAGCCCATCAGTTGGTGGTAGACCACTCTTTTGTGCAAACACCCATTCAGCAATACAGCTTTTAGGGGAACTTCTCTGGCAATCCAGTGGTTAAGAATCAGTTCTCCCAATGCAGGGGGCCCAGGTTCAATTCCTGGTCAGGGAACTAGATCCCACATGCCGCGACTAAAGATCCTGCGTGCCACCACCAAGAATGAAGATCCTGTGAGACACAACTAAGACTTATGCAGCCAAATAAAGAAAATAGTAAAAAAAAAAAAACAACACACAAACAACTTCTAGGTGTCTACTGCATGCTGGGCAGATGAAAATGGTATCAAATTACAAAACTGCAAAAACACTGCAAAGAGATTCCAGTGACTTTCACCTTTTCATAGAGAGTGCCATTCACATCTGCACCATAGATTGGGGGATTGAACGTGAGATTTTTCCAGTATTTTCGTTCAAGCTCTTCAAATTCACTATAGCGTGGGGTACAGTACCTTTCAAAAGTGGAAAAAAAAAGGGTTAGCCACTCATAAGAGACTAAATTCATCAGGCATTATAAATAGCACAAGACACAATCCCCTGTTCCAGGGATAGCAAGACATTTCAAATGAACAAGATATAACGTTGGCCTTCAAGGTTCCACTAACTCCCTCAACCTCCCTTCTGTGGGTACCAGGCCCAAGGAAGGTAACATACACCAAGATGTAAGCCCATCTTCCTTAAGAATGCTATCCTCCACTCTTTTAAAAGGCCCTACTAAAACTACACCCTGCTCCACTCAGGAGTGGCCTGGCCACCCAGGGGGAAAATAGGCTTACAAACTTGTGAGAACCAAGAACTGCAAATCCCTGTGGATCCACAGACAACCAAAACCCGCCCACACATGGAGAGGTGAGGCCCTGGAACAGCAGTCACTTCCCTGCACTCTAAGGAAGTGTCTCCAAGAGGGCTCACTTGAATTGTCACTGCTGCATTCCCACCATCCTATGCAGTATGGCTAACATCCAACAAATAAGCATGCCTGAAAACAAAATAGTTTAATAAAAATATAAAATAGTCCTAAAAACATAAAAACAGGTTTATGCATATCAAATGTTCCATTGAGCAAAATACAAGTATATACATATGCTCAAACACACACACACACCCTATCTATCCATATATATCTCCACATAATACTGTTAAAAAATCTATATTCTTTAGCTCAATAAAATCACATACTGAAAACTTACTCCAAAATAAACTTTTTAAAAATTCAAACCACTTAAAAACTACTACACAATTTAAAGAGTAACATGTAAACCTAATAAGTATTTGAAAATGCATAGTATAACTTGGCAAAAATATATATATATGATAAGGAATGGAAGACCAAACTGAAATTGTATGGAGATAATGAGGTTAAATGGAGGGTTAAGAAAAATCTTACTTTAAATGCTGCCTTACATTTTGACATCAACCTAATGAAGTTTAGAACTCTCAAGATCCCTTTAAATACAAATAACTCTACTTCCAGCTGATCTGCTTTATAAATTTAGGTTTTTACCTACTGGGTTTTCTTAAAGCTGGCTGATCATGCAAACAGAAATCAACAGTAAGAACTGGTTGTATTTCAGATGAAGAGAAAAGACACAAGACTGATTTGAAAACAGATATCCTGAAAGGCAAGCCCTACCATCTGTTGATGAGATGAGACTGGAAGACCAAGGGGACAGGCGGGGACTGAATGAGACCCCGGGAACAAAGCAAGTGTGCCTGGCCCGGTGCAGGGCTAGGAAGCAGGCATGAAGGACGACACAGGCTCATATCTGCAGAGCACGGCACACTGCTCCAACAGGCCTTTACACAGATTCTCTAATTAGACAGCAGGTTGGCCAGCAAGGGAGATGCTTTAAGAGTTAGGCTGCCAAGAAAACTGGAAGCCCACATTCGGAACTGTGATAAGTCCAAGGAAAAGAGGCAGAGCACAGATGGAGCAGGAGTGGGACCTGATGTGAGATAACAAAGCGCTCTAAGTGTGAAGCCTGGCGAGCTGAGGCTCTCCCCGGGCTCCTCCATGGCCAAGCCGGAGCCGGAGGCACAATACATCTGACTGGCTGAAACCAAGCCGTGTGCGGGCCTAAAAGGACTCAGGAGAAAAAGCGAGGGAGTGGGGAAGGGACGAACCCCTTATGGAGCCTCAAAATGAAGAGACACAAGGGAAAGGAGAAGATTCAAGCAAGAGGATAAGTCAGAGTCCAACAAGGGGAACGCACAATTCATTCTCTGTAAATGTGAGGTCAAATGAGAGCGAAATTAATAAAAACAGCACAGAAAAACGATGGATAACAGTGGACCTGAATAAAGACGCTTCCAACAGAGACAAGAATGTACCAATGATCATGGAGTGACAGAAAACAGCAAACAGCTTGTTAGTTTACCCACCTTTGGTTAATGTCACAGAAAAAATAAGATAGCATCTGAATGGGTGGTGAGGAGTTTGACATGATTAAAGACAGAAGGACCCAGAAGGAAGAGATTAACTTACACTACTGAGGCCACTTTTTGGTAAGTGGGTGTTATCGATACATCTGGCCAAAGCGCCTCTGAACCAACTCCAAGTTTCCCCTTTGCAACCTTGCAAATTAAGTCCTACCTCTGAAGGAAAAGCAACAGGACTACTCTATGTAAAAACATAGACGAGTTTAGACTGTGACTGTGTACTCAGAAGAGAAATGTTTCTGTGCAAAGAACAGCAAGGGAGACAGAGAGAAGCAGGAGCTGGGCAAAGGGGATTTCAGTAGGATGGCAGCAGTCTTGAAGACCACTCTGTGCACGAAATGTAAGGTCCCTATGCTAAAAGGAACGTGCTTCACTCACTTATCACTGTTGGCTATCTTGCGGAACTCTCGCACAGTCATGGCTTTCTTCTGTATGTTGTACTGAGTAAAGAGGCCAGACTGCCCTGTCACCAGCTGCTGGATGGGGGCTGGAATAACCAGGTCATCAATATCATCATAGGAGGCTCGTGGCTTCCACTCCTTTGGAGGAACAACCTGTAGGGAAGACAAGGAACAAAGAGATCAGAAACCTGGCAAGCTGATCAGAGTCCAGGAAGTGTGCAGGCCAACAGCTGATTTTACTAGAAAATCATGTGGATTTAACCATGTTCACTCAAACACGGCAAAAGTCACACTGTCATGCTAGCCCTGATCCAGTTCTGCCACCAACTAGCTGCCTAGACACAATGACCTAAAGTAAGGAATATTCATTCATTCTCAGCCTCAGAATATTATCTGGGCACCGAGAGAGGAGGATGAAGAGTTGATTTTCTCTCAATCTAACAGAAAGTCCATATGGGAAGCCAAATTACTATCAGAGTGCGGAACGAGAGGGAAACCGAGAAAGAGAGAAGTTGGATTGATGAAAACACCCTCTCCACCAAGAGATGGAAGCACCGCAGCAGCTGGCCCTTGGGACACTGGCTCTTTCCCTTCCTTTTAAAGATTCCCAACAGCTCTCCTCTAACCTAAAAAAAGAGATGTTTCAGATGTTAACGAAAGGAATTAACTTGTAAATAGGACAGCAAATATTCAACTACCACCCCACCTGCCTTTCAGTAAAACTGTTCTTCAAGGCTCCATTTAGGAAAAATCTTACGGCCGCCCTCAGTCGAAAAGGCCTCCACCCCTCACCTTAGCCAGTCCAGCCCGATGAGCTCCTTGGGATTCAATATAAGCAATGTAACGACTGAAGTTTCGGAACTCCTCCATAGTCGGGTAGAAGGTCATTATTCGAGCACTGGGATTCAAGGTTTCAGATTCAGAAGCCATCTTTCCTCCTTTTTGAGGTCACTTTGGTCAGGCAGGGATCTGAAGACATACATTAAGAGCATAAAATTACACAAAATGTAATTAAGACTGAATGCTGGGAATGTCAGTGCTGAAAACAGTGAAAGAGGAAGAAAGTTTGCAGCACCAAGACCTCACACCTGGAATCTGCCCAGGGCAGGTTATTTAAATAAGTAAGATAAATGAATAGAAAAGGTTCTGCTTAAATGATTCTGATGTATCAAAATTGCATGGATTCAAACCTCATTTAATGGAGACATTGCCTCAACTAAAAAAGGGAAACTAATTATTTGGTTGTTGGTCCCATCTGACAAAGCAGCTGCCCTGCCCATCTTTCTTCCAGCTGCTCCCTTGTTCATACTTGGCTAATTAATTCTAAGTATTAAACTTAATATACTACAACCCGATTTTTTTAAAATAAAAATCTATCTATGGGCTTCCTTCTAAGGCACAGATTTCAAACAGGATTCTAGATTCTTAAGAAAAGTTACTTAGCTTCAAGACTACAAAATTAAAGGGCTAAAAAGCATCCTGATATTAGTAGCCAGAGCTATGATTTTTAAAACCTTTAAGTGAAATTGTTCTCACAGCCACACCTAAATGCAGTTTCAGCACAGTTGCACGAAATCAAGGTAGAGACTAGTTCAATTGCACTGTACCCAGAACTCAAAGAACAAAATTAAAACAGGCAATAAACTGGCAGTACAGGGCAAACTTCATAACTGACTGTAGGTGAAATAAATACTACTTTGTTTTTAGATGAGGCCTTCGGCTAAGTGGGTGCATCCCCACTGCCTGGTAACACAATAGACTGTTTCAACTGAGTCAGAACCAAGCATACCAGCTAAAAACAGTCAGTTTAGAAGCAAAAAACTTACGTCCTTTTCTTTACTCAATTCCCCCAAATCTCGGCCCCAAAGTCATGGCAGTTCAGCTCTAAGAGTTCCCCTTGAGAGCTGGAGAGATCAGAAAGGAGAAAACTCCTCCAACCTACCAACAATCTAGTGAAAGACTAGGAAGACGGCATGGAGCAGAACTGTCTAAGGTAGGAGAGAAGACAAGTCCCAGTACCTGCATCTCTCCAGCTTCCATTTCACCAAATACAGTGAGTTCTTGGCCTGGTGTTTTTATGCACCTGGACAAACTGCACGGCAGGTATACTGTAATCCCTGTTTTACATACCAGGAAATTTACCCGAAGTCCCGCAATGCATTCCCAGTGCTCCATTTCTCAGTGCTGCCTACATCATAATCTCCACTTAATCTAAGCCCTTTACAAGGGCAGATCCAAGTATAAAGTTTTATGCAATCTTGAAGACCTCTTTTCTAAGAAAAGAATACAAAATATCTAACTTTTGCAAATTTTACAAAAACATATAAATCATGTGAACACAGTGTTAGGCTCCATCCCAAAGCCTCTCAAAGCCCACAAGAGGCTTCATTTGCCTCTGGCCTTATTTATCTTTGTACGCCCAAAACCTAGAACAATGCACGACAGAGTACACACTCTTAACTGTTGAACAACTGATTTCCTTGCTCTTTCTTACATCAACTGCTCATTCCCTTTCTTCTACTCTAGGATCCCCTTCCCTCAACCTATTCCCTCGGGAAAGCTCCTGTTCCTTGACACCTTCCTTCCCCCACCCAGCAACAAAGCCTTGTGGTTTAAAAGAGCACTGCCCCAGAGTTAAAACAACTCTGAATACAGATCTAGTCTCTGCCTTTTATTAGCTGTGTGACCTTGGCTGTGTAAATTGCCCGTCTCAGTTACTCCTCCTGTAAAATGGGGTCCCAAACCTCCTTGCCCTGCAGGGTTGCTGTGATTAACTCAGATGATGCAAGCGAAACGCTAAGCACTAGGCCTGGTACTTACCAACTCAGTAAAGGCAGCTATTACTAACTATCTCAAACTCCCGCTCCCTCCCCTTGCATCCGATCCCGCAGGTATCGCTCCCAAGATAGCCCCCGCGCTCCCAAGGTCCCCGAAGCTCACCGAGTATACGCCCGGGGCCTCCCGGCCCCGCCGCCTAGGCGAGTGAGACCGGGCCGCAGGAAGAGAAAATAAGGCCCAGTAGACCCGCCCACCCTTCCCGACGCCCATTGGCCAAAAGAGATTGGAAAGGGCCAATCTCAGGACTCATTTTAGAAGCTCCTGCTTCCAGTAGTCGAAAGCTATGCCTATCACTCACCTCAGAAGGCCGCTCTCCACCCCTCCCCCACCGGCGATCACGGTCAAGGCTACAGAAGCAACAAATCTGAAGGATTCAAAAACCCTGTAGTTCTTACTTAAAGCCCACTGCCCCGACAGGGCTAAGGCTTGACTTCTGCTGTCGCTACTAGCCGATCACCCTGCTTTTCCAGCCGGCGAAAGACGAGACTCCGCCTCCTCGAAAGTCGATCTCTGCGCAGCCGCATAGTGCTCCACAAAGTCAGCCAACCCGGGGGCCGCGATAAGCATTCAACCCGCCAATGAAAGCGCTGTGAGGCCGCCCCAAAGTCCAGGCGTCTCAATCTGTTCCACCTATGAGAGCCGACTCGGGCTGTTGCCAGGAGGAAAAGTAGTACCACCGGGACTGCGGCCACTGAGCACCTCGGCTGAGGCGCAGAGCCGGCCAATCGAAGGCGGGCTTCTGGCTGCCCGCAGCTCGTCTGGACTGAGACAGTTAGTTGAGTGCCTAGAAATGAGATCGTTGGCCAGAGTAAAGGCGCTAATGAGGCCGTTGTAGGATGTTTCTAAAGGGTGGGTACAGTCTTTTGCGGGGTGAGTATAACCCTTATCTGAAGTAAAAGTGCGCTCCGGTCCCTTAGGAGTAGCTTCTGAGGTCAAAGAGTTCCGGATTAGGTGACCAGCCCGTCCCAGTTTGCGCAGTGCTGTCTCGGTTTTAAAACGCGAATTAGGGGTCTTGGGAACCCCCTCACTTGCCTGCAAACCGGGACTTTGCTTGAAAGGAGCCGTTCCTAAGGGGAAAGGAGCTCTGAGGGTCATTAGGACAAGTCCTGGGGGCGGATGTCCTTAGGGTCATTCAAAAGCTGTTCCTCAGTGAGCAGGGATTTGGGGGTCATTAGGAGCAGCTCTTGGGGTGGAGGGAGAAGATGCTGGAAGTCATTAGACACCCTTGTGGAGGGTGAGGAGGATTCCTGGAAGTCATTAGGAACTGTTCCTGAGGGGTCGTGAGTCGCCCTAAGGAGCCCCACGTTGTCAGGGGTGATGGGGAAGGAAGCAGCCAGGACACTATGATAGATCAAATAGAAAAGTAGAATACTTGCAACCTGAGTTATTAAGATGTACAAAATTGCCCCCAGATGAGTAGGTCTGTGGTGCACTGAAAAGAGCTGTGAAGTCAGATCTGTGTTCAAAACTAGTCACTCCTCAGAGGTTGGGTTTCCACATCAGTACAAAGGAAAAGATAATACGTGCCTTGCAGGATTATTGTAAAGATGAGAGTTAGTTTATGTTGGCAAAAAGGATAGTATTAGGTAGAATGGAATGGACATAAAGCAATTGATTTATACCCTGGGGCTGTGGAGGAGATAGCAACCCACTCAAGTACTCTTGCCTGGAAAATTCCGTGGATGAGGGAGCCTGGTGGGCTGCAGTCTACGGGGTAGCAAAGAATCAGAGGCGACTGAGCAACTTCACTTTCTTTCTGTATTTCTATAGTTCCTTTTGGAGAAGGAAATGGCAACCTACTTCATTGTTCTTGCCTGGAGGATCCAATGGATGGAGGAGGGGGCGGGGGGTGCGGTCTATGGGGTTGCAAAGAGTTGGACACGACTTAGCAACTAACACACACGCGCGCACACACACACACACCCTGGGGCTGGTCATGTCCTCCCCCCGCCCCACCCTATCCCTAAAAAAGCAGTTATTTCTCAAAAAAGACAAGGGAATGACTTTTGAGTAGGCAACTAATAGCCTTTCACAACAGTTATAAAGGTTTTCTGTCTTGACCTACTGTGTTAGATAACAGATTATATTGGTTAGCTCAGAAAACTGCCAAAAGTCTGAAGAATCCAACCTACATAACAAGGAAAATCACCCACCACTCTCTTCAATGTTGCCCCCAAACATGAGGTGCTTACTTAACTGACTGGCTGTCCTGGGCATGGATACAGTTACTAGCACCACTTTACTACCAACTACTCCAGGAATTTACTCTTGTAACATTTCCCCTTGAGGCAAAAAAGGGTTTTCCAGGATTGCTATTACTTTCTATCACTAGCTTTCCCATTGGTCTGTGTGCATGATAGGTGGAACTTCAATCCCTTTCATCTTCCTGTATCTCTGACCAGTTTATCTTAGTCACCATCTTAAGCTCACCTGTCCTTTCCCACCCCTTAAATGTTCACATCTAAAGCAAACTAATCTATAGTGAAAGAAGACCAAGTTGGGTTTAACTTTGGGTGGGAACAGGGAATGATGGTAATTAGAATAAGGAATGCTTCTGTGGTAGTAATATTCTGTTTCTCCATCTGCAAGGTGGTTATTACAGTGGTGTGTTCACATTGCTTTGAGCTGTATACACTTACAAGTTGTGCATAACATTCCATGTATATGATACCTTAATTTTTTAAATTAAATTACAAAATTAATTTTAAAAAGCAAATTATTTTTTAAAAGAAAAAAATGTTGACGTCTTCATGGCTCTCTGACATTTGTCCTCTTCTCTCATTCTACAAACCCACTTAGGTGTTTTACAACTCTAGCATTATGATCTAGAGCAAGTTACTTAATTTCTCTAATCCTTAGTTATAACTAAAACTGGAATAGCACTTCCCTTTCTTGGTTGTGAGAATTGGATGAGATATTGCAGGCAGAGCACTTAGAAGTCAAGCCGGCAGGTATTAAGTGCTCAGTAAATGTTAGCTGTGACAGTGGAAGATGATGGTGGTGGTGATGATACAAAGCACTTAGCATAAAGCCTGAAACAAGAGCTCGATGCACTTTCACTCTCAGGCTTCACTCATATGTGCACACTGATGTCCCCCTTATATATTCCAGTAAAGTCTCCCCTGAGTTCAGATCCATATGTCCTCCTATTTCCAGACACCACCCCCTCCACCGCCTGGGTAGCTACAGGTATATAAAACCCATATGCCCAATAAGGAACTAATCTATTCACTCCACAAATGAGCTCCACCTCCTAGGACTCCTATCTCAGTGAGGCAGCCATCCACGCAATCACTCCCCACCCCCTCAAAAAAAAAAAAGCCAGAAACCAGTTTGCAACTAGGGATTCCTTGATGTCGTCCATCACTTCACCCACACAGAGTTCACAAAGCAAGTGCTTTACAAGTGCCTAGATTTGTTTACATGACCGTCATCTTCCATGAGACAAAAATCTCGAGAGGATCACTTGAGTCTTATCAGTGGTATCATTTAGGAATGTGTTCTGTTGCCAGAAATACAAAACCCTAGCAACAGTAACTTAAACAAAATTATTTTTCCCAAATGTACTAAAAAGTTTGAAGGGAAGAGGCGCATTTATTGGCATTGGCTCAGTGTTCCAGAGTCACCAAAGACACAGGCTCCTTTCGTCTTTCTCCATCATACTTCACAACCTGGCTTTGACCTTCATGTATGCACTTCATAGCCATAAAGTGATTGCTGAAGCTCCAGACATCCTGCCCCTATTCATAGGGATATGGAGGAAAGGGAGAGTATCAGCAGCACCTGTTACTCCTATCAGATCCAGCAAAAAGTCTCAGAATCTTTCCACCTACCAGTGATGAGTGGAACAAACCTTTAGCTGCTTTTGTGGTGTTTACAATCTAGCAAAGGGGAGAAAAGAAAGCCTTCTTAAGTGATCAGTGCAAAGAAATAGAGGGAAACAATAGAATCGGAAAGACTAGAGATCTCTTCAAGAAAATTGGAGATACCAAGGGAATATTTCACCACAAAATGGGCACAATAAAAGACAGAAATGGTAAGGACCTAACAGAAGCAGGAGAGCTTAAGAAGAGGTGGCAAGAATACAGACAAGAACTATACAAAAAGGGTCTTAATGACCCAGATAGCCATGATGGTGTGATCACTCACCTAGAGCCAGACATCCTGGAGTGAAAAGTAAAGTGGGCCTTAGGAAGCATTACTATGAACAAAGCAAGTGGAGGTGATGGAATTCCAGCTGGACTGTTTCAAGTTCTAAAAGATGATGTTGTGAAAGTGCTACACTCAATAGGCCAGCAAATTTGGAAAACTCAGCATTGGCCACAGGACTGGAAAAGGTCAGTTTTCATTCCTGTCCCAAAGAAGGGCAATGACAAAGAATGATCAAACTACCATACAATTGTACTCATTTCACATACTAGCAAGGTAATGCTCAAAATTTTCCAAGCCAGGCTTTAACAGTACATGAACTGAGGACTTCCAGATGTTCAAGCTGGATTTAGAAAAGCAGAAGAACCAGAGATCAAATTGCCAACACCTGTTGGATCATAGAAAAAGCAAGGGAATTCCAGAAAAACATCTGCTTTATCAACTGCACTAATTCGTAGTTTTAGTGGTTGATGGTAACTACATAAGGAAAGGAAAGGAAAGTGAAGTCGCTCAGTCATGTCCGACTCTTTGCAACCCCATGGACTGTAGCCTACCACACTCCTCTGTCCATGGGATTTTCCAGGCAAGAGTACTGGAGTGGGCTGCCATTTCCTTCTCCAGAGGATCTTCCCAACCCAGTTTCAGAATATCTCCATCACCTCAGTAAAATCTGCCACCTCAGTAAGATCCCTCATGTCCAGTTATAATCACTCTCAATCCCTACTCCCAAACCCAAGCAACTCTACTTCCTATCTATATAGAACTGCTTTTTCTGGACATTTCAAGCCAATAGAACCATACAGTGAATGGTCTTTTGTGTCTGACTGTTTTTACTTAGCATTAACTTTTTTGAGAGTCATCCACGCCATAGCATGTATCAGTATTTCATTTCTTTTTAGTATTGAATGGTATCCTTTGGTAGTATTGATTGACATTTGGGTGGTTTCCCACTTTTTGCCAACTATGAATAGGGATTCTGTCAACATTTATGTATGAGTTTTCGTGTGAATGGATGTTTTCACTTGGTTAGATAGTTCAGTTCAGTCACTTAGTTGTGTCCGACTCTTTGCCACCCCACAGACTGCAGCATGCCAGGCCTCCCTATCCATCACCAACTCCCAAAGTTTACTCAAACTCATGTCCGTTGAGTCAGTGATGCCATCCAACTATCTCATCCTCTGTCGTCCCCTTCTCCTCCTGCCTTCAGTCTTTCCTAGCATCAGGGTCTTTTCAAAGGAGTCAGTTCTTCACATTAGGTGGCCAAAGTATTGGAGTTTCAGCTTTAGGATCAGTCCTTCCAATGAATATTCAGGATTGATTTCCTTTAGGATTGATTGGTTGTATCTCCTTCCTGTCCAATAGACTCTGAAGAGTCTTCT